TGTTATATTACCCCGTCCTTAAATTCTTGGGCTGAAAATAAATAGATTTCTAAACATTACTATCTAATGTTTTAGTTCAAAAAATACAGCACAGGCTCAAGTTCGATTGTATGCAAAATTGAAGACATACCAATTTAAGAGTCGCATACATATTCTATGGTTTTCAAGGAGTTTTTACCTAACTCTACAAAGAGCCTGGATTGTTTTTGTGCATTATCATATTATTCTAAATTATTACATTTATTTTTTGGTTGAGTGTGCATCATTTGCATTATCTGAAAATATCAAATTATTTCCAATCTATGGTGGCTGTTAGCGGCCATTCAAATGAATCTAAATCGTCGCCTTGTGAAGAAGGCGACAAGTCGACAAGTCGACAAAATGAACCCACCAACACGACAAAATAACCCAACGATCGTCGCCTTCATTTCGCCGACTTGTCTTGTCAATTCTGTAGACTTGTCGACTTGTCGCCTTCCACTAATTCAGAACCCGACAAGTCGACATAATACAATTATGTCGACTTGTCGTGCGGCGATTTGTCGCCTCGGAAGTCAAACTCGAGCTTGCGTATTTGCTGATTGGATAACTTGCATGCGCACAGATTAACTTCCGAGGCGACAAGTCGCCACACGACAAGTCGAAATAATTGTATTTTGTCGACTTTTCGGGTTGTGAATAATTCGAAGGCGACAAGTTGACAAGTCGACACAATCAACTCGCCAACACGACAAAATAACCCGACGATCGTCGACTTCATTTCGTCGACTTGTCGGGTCAATTCTGTCGACTTGTCGCCTTCGACTTATTCACAACCCGACAAACAAGTCAACAAGTCGAAGAATTGAGTCGACAATCGTCGCCTTCATTTTGTCGCGTTGTCGGGTCAGTTATGTCGACTTGTCGACTTGTCGTCCTCAAGTTATTTACAAGTCGACAAAATACAATTATTTCGACTTGTCGTGCGGATTTGTCGCCTCGGAAGTCAAACTCGAGCTTGCGCATTTTCTGATTGGATAACTTGCATGCGCACAGATTAACTTCCGAGGCTACAAGTCGCCGCACGACAAGTCGAAATAATTGTATTTTGTCGACTTGTCGACTTGTCGGGTTGTGAATAAGTCCAAGTCGACAAGTCGACAAAATCAACCCGCCAACACGACTTGTCGCCTTCTTCATAAGGCGACGATTTAGATGACATTTGAATGGCCGCTAACAGTCACCATACCAATCTGATTAAAATACAGATCTATTTTTCGTTTCGTTTTTTATACTTTCAATGGCCTACACTACATGAAGATCTGATCGGTTGTAGCGATAAGTCGCGTCAGAGGTCATACGAGCGGCTTTTGACCCTATGACGTCAGACATTTGATTAACCAATCAGCATTGATGTTGCTAGTGGATTACCCACAATTCCGTGCAAAACACACCTAAAGCTCGCCGTAGCCGACCGTTTCATTGGCTAATTGCTCACATCATTCAGAGCACATCAATGATAACAACTCTTCCAGGCCCTAGTGTAGTAAAGACAAGTAGCCTAACTATAAAAACGAAACGAAATAGGATCTGTGTTTTAATCAGATTGAATTATTTCCACAGTTAATGCAATTGTACTCACATGACTGAGATAGAAATGTATGGTTACACGAAAAAAAACCGCGCATATAACTGATCTGAGTGTGTGGGAAAAGTCACTGTCCGGGCACAAGTCTACATTCGCACAGCACAAATAACTATAGAAATAATAATTACGGATACTTTAGTCGTAACATCATATTTACTACCCGGTAAAATGTATCCATTTCCTTACGCCTTCGTCGCCTATGATATAGGTATATGTACATTAATGGCCCGATCCTTGTGATTTTTTGGCAAAGTGCACTGGTCTTTAAATCTATTTTTTATTTGCATAAAGGTGACAGCCTGGTACTTCTAAATAAATAATTTTACAAGTGGGGTGTGAAATTCTCTATTCAACCTGAACAAATATTTGAACACTGTTTAAACGACACCACGTATATAATCTTTGATAATTTATTATACGCTATTAAATACTATAGCTGTACATATTGCAAGTCTTCAACTATTAATAAGGTACTTACCATGGGATTGATATGTGCAAATTGCACAGATCTTGACAAATATCTGGCACGTTTATAATGCATTTAAAATAGGGTTGTAAATTGCTTTTAACAAATTCGTGTCAAAGAGAGTTTTTTGTCGCTAGTAGAATCACGAACAGGTGCATTATTTAATTTGGGATGCAATTTAACATGAGTAAAATCTGCGTACGCCAGAAGAGCAATATTCATATTCCCTCTCTAAATTGTAAAGTCTTATGTACTCTAGCACAATGAAGATGCCAAAGTGGGTAGGTACCTGCTGAAAACTCACGAGGCCACTGCAAGTGACCATATTCCTTGTCACGTACAAGCGGGTAATGGAAACCACGACCCTTAGACTTCTTTTACTGTTTTATTTTATTTTTTAGTGGTCATAAAGTCTATATAACTTTTAGGTTTTAATAATAATAGTGTGCCCTTTAATGGTATTTAAAACATAAGGCAATGTGTACTTTTCACGAAGCGATTATTGAGACTTATTATTCCGATAATTAAAAATTTGTGCAATGGAGCATCTATATTTATTCTCAATTTTATTAATTAATTATAACCATTACAGCTTATTTTTCGAAGTTGTAGTCAGGTTTTCGCCCTTAATGCCAGATAAAACGCTAGAACTGTCGAATTGTCGAATCTACATAAGCCATTTAATTTTACTTGGCCTTTTTACTACATTTCACGAAAACTGGTTAGTTATAAAGGTTTTTTTTTATTTCTATATACTTACACTGAGGTTTCTTGTAGCCGATCAAGACTCACACCGGTATGATACAACCTTTGGGAAATACTTTCCTGTTTCTTGAGTTGCTTCCCTTACTTATTTTTGTTTTTTGTTTTGTTTTTTTTTTCTTTTTGAGTGAAGTCTGTATCACTACATGCCCGGGTAGACTAGCCCCTGGACCCATCTACTTGATCTTTTATGCGCGTTTGTTGTTTGTGGTGTCTATATATTGTATCAGGTCCGTGAGTTTATCTTGTGTAATTGTTTGTATGTGGTGCGCCCCCCCCCCACTCCCCTCTGCTTTTGACTAATAACGGTAAACGAAAATTGACAGCCAAAGGGATAACCAGCATTAATAGGACTTTAATATTTTGAAGAGCCTTTAAAACATCGACATGAAACACTACACTGCCTATTATAAAATTTACAGGGCGCAGTTTCTTTGTTCATTATTTGTCTACCTATAGAGTTTGCTACAATCATAGTTACGCTTTTAAAATCGTTTTGTATATGGGACTTTCAAATTTGTAAGCCTGATATTTATGTGTTCGAACCTGAATAACTTCCATTGTGGCTATACTAGGGTGCAGTTCTGTAGAGATTTTATCTACTTTAATCTATTATATATAGGTGTTGACAACTAAATCTGTCATTAAAATTATATGTTATCGTTTTATCACATAGGTCACCATAACACTTATACGTTGCTATATATACAAACCGTGTACAAAATTATACTTTAAAGTACTAGTCTCTTAACAGAACACAGTTTTTATGGGGAAACAACCACTAGTTTTATTCTAAAAGCACGAGGTTTCGACAAGTATCCCCTTATCGTTATTGTGCTTGATAACGATAAGAGGATACTTGTCGAAACCTCGTGCTTTTAGAATAAACCAGTGATTGTTTCCCATAAAAACTGTGTTCTGTTAATGTGTTTCCCAATCGCTAAATGCCACTTGAAGATTTTTATACTAGTCTCTTGTTCAATATTAATTGCATTGCTGTAAAAATATTTTTAATTAAGATTGACATTTAAAAACAATTTCAGATTGTACTTTTAAGCACTGGTTCCCAGGTGTCAAACGGGGCGGAAAAAGGGGGTGGTGGTGGCGGTCTCGCGATTAATAATATAGAACCTAACATTATTGTGAACTGCGGCCAAACACGAATGCTTAGTGTTAAGAAACTGAATCTTGTCGTTCGGATGGCACAAAAATAACGTCGGCGTGCACCTAACGGGATTCTTGATAGTTGGCGTACACGTATATGAATCCTTGATAGTTTGCGTGCACGTAAAGGAATTATTAATAGTTTGTGTGGACGTAAAGAAATCCTTGATAGTTTGCTTGCACGTAAGGATTCCTTGGCAGTTGGCGTGGACGTAAAGGAATCCTTGATAGTTGGCGTGCACGTAAAGGAATTGTTGATAGTTGGCGTTGACGTAATATAAAGGAATCGTTGACAGTTGGCGTGCACGTAATTGGAATGAAATGGGGTTTAACGTCCTACTGTTTTGATCCGAACTGGGCGTGCACGTAAATGAAATGAAATGAAATGGGGTTTAACGTCCTACTGTTTTGATCCGAACTGGGCTAATGAAGACGGGCATACGCCATACGGTGTGCTATGAGTATGAGGGAAATTTTGCCCGGACAGCGGCACTTCGGCCTACTCTTATATCGAATTCCAACGGTCAAGAGATCTATTACGTGCACCAAATGTCTACACGGGACCTCGGTTTTTCGTCTCATCTGAACAACTAGACAGCTGTCCTTGTTAGGCCCTCCGTCCTGCATCACACCGGAAAAGCTGGATGAACTTTCTCGGCCAATGCAGGGATCGAACACCCGACCTCCAGACTAGCGAGCCAGCGTCTTACCCACTTAGCCATCGTGACCCCCAGCACGTTAAGGAATTCTTGACAGCTGGTGTGCACGTAAAAGAATCCTTGACATAATTCGATGAAGTGTAGGAGGAAACGCTGTTGACGGGATGAAATTACCCTCATAGCATGCTACATGACCGTATTTTTTAGCACAGTTTCTGTGGAATATTGGTGGGTTAAGCCACATTTATTTTTATTTATTTATTTTTTTTTTTTTTAAAACATCATCTTTTATATTTAAATTGGTTCCTTTCTGTCTTTTCAGATTGACAAGAACCAGTACTTCGCCATGTAAAAACGTGGAATCTTTTCATTGACTTAATAGCTTAGAATATTAACAAAATGAACAAAAAAAGTGTCGGTGCTCTCGATGTTGGTCGAGCTAAAATCAAAAGAGCCGAATACGACGATGGTCTGATACGCGATAATGTTCGAATTGACAATAAACATATGAGAGAATTACGTGTGCACGAACGCGCTAAAAATGTAATCAGTCGAACGTTCGATAAAGAATCTCAACTTTTTAAGCAAAAGCAAGCCTCACAAAAGGCAAGGCCAACCGGTTTGAATTCCCAAGGGCACAAGCTTAGATTGTCCAGTACGGGGCCCAATAATTTCGCACTCGGATCACCTAATGCGATTTCTAATCACTGGAGCAGCGGTTCGAGTCCGAATGGAACACTCTCGCCCGCTATTTCTGACTCGCGATCTACAGAAAGTAAATCACCAGTAACACCATGGGGAGACAACCATCAATTCCAGTATTCGCCAGACCTGGTGATGCCGCCTATCCAAACTAATGGACAAAGATCGCCAGATATGCCGAGTGGAACAGAACCACCTTCTCTAACCAAAGTGAAAGTAGGAACAACACAGGTTAGTTCGCGATTAAGCATTCCACATAGACAGTTATCGCGAAACAGTATTTCCGATGAGACAGATTCTGTAAGCAAAAACCGAATCAAAAGTGCTTCTAGGGCAACCTATATGGATCCGTTCACTGGCAGAGTTCGCGAAGAAACTGTCTTCGATTTTCTAAGTAAGCCTAGGAATAACTATGAAGTTCAAAAAAGAAAAGACATTCGAGTTCAACTTGAAAAAGAATTCAGTCATAGGAAAGATGAGGCGCCAAAGAAAGTCGCCGCTAGATCAAGTCTAAAGAAAAAGACAATACCAATTTCGCCGTTTCAAAAACGGGATGGACGGATTTAGATTATGGAACTTATCGACAAATTCAAAATACTAGACCCTCGAAGGCCTATAAGACAATAATTAACATATTCGTGGCTATAACGTGAACGGGCATATTTAGTATAAAAATGTATTTGTCCAATGATCAAGTGTGCAGCCCATAATGTGATAAACCAAACTGAGTAGCAAATGTTTTGTAATTTAATAATATGGCGAATGCATTTTGTGTGTTTTAGCTTTCCATAAAGTATTAAATAATGGATATGCTAAATTCGTGCGTTAATGGTATAGTAAATGCATTTGTGTGTTTTAGCTTATAAAGTATTAATACATTTAACAGGTAATCACAATCTGATTAAAACCATGATCCTATTTCGTTTCGTTTTATTAGTCTACACGACGAACTGGAATAGTGGTAGTACCTTAGTTCTTTAACGTCTGCTGCCACAAAAGTGATATCGCAGAGAAGACGAAAGGATAAATGAAATGGGGTTTAACGTCCTTCTATTCTGTTGCAACTGGACTAATGAAGATGGTATGAGGGGAATTATGAACCGCCAGCGGCGCTACGTACGTCCTATAACTCTTATATCTAATTCCAACAGCCAATTAATTCTCTACGTTGTCCTTTGCAAGGCGACAGGAACCGTAAAGAATGGGGGTCACGTGGCTAAGTGGGTAAGACGCTGGCTCGCTAGCCTGGAGGTCGGGTGTTCGATCCCTGCTTTGGCCGAGAAAGTTCATCCAGATTTTCCGGCGTGGTTCCCTCTTGTCAGTGATACAGGACGGAGGGCCTGACAAGGACAGCTATCTAGTCGTTCGGATGGGACGAAAAACCGAGGTCCCGTGTACACAGTGGCGTGCACGTAAAAGATCCCTTGACAGTTGGAATTAGTTATAAGAGTAGGTCGTAGTGCCGCTGTTCGGGCAAAATTTCCCTCATAGCACACTGTATGGCGTATGCCCGTCTTCATTAGCCCAGTTCGGTGCAGAACAGTAGGACGTTAAACCCATTTCATTTCATTTCATTTCACGTAAAGAATGTTTAAATAACAGTGTTCTCTTCCATATGAGACATTAGCCAATGAAAATTATGTACTGATACAAATAATATTCAATATATCTGTTTTAGTTTACTCGCTCAAAATTTACATCAGAATGCACAAGATCCAATCTAATTTTCAAAATGCTCGGGGGGGGGGGGTATTTATGTGGGTGTTTAGACTTTAATTTCCATCACCTGCGAAACACTTAACGAGTATCAAAATATGGCTATCGAGCAGAGATCAACTATTTCTTCTGTGAAATGAGTGTGTATATTTTTGACGCCCACATTTAATTTCGTCGCCCGCAATTGTCCAAATGACTTGAATTTTACACGCGGTGTTTATGTTTAGAAGTCAATATTTAATCATTATTTTCACAGTTGTTGGCTGTTGCCTGATCAGATTGAAAAAAGCCTTGTGGTGGCTCTCGAGGCTAAAGTTATCATCATATAATTGACATTGAATATAACACAATGTGATAACTTCTATGAACTTCCCGGATGACGTATAAGCTGCAGCAGGCGTGTATTTCGTTGCCTGGTAATCAGTATCTGTTGTTTTGTTTTTTAAAGACCCCGCATCACCGCCTTTAAATGAACAATTCATTGCAGGCTTGTAGCAAGATCGCTAACAGTTGCAAAAGGAGAACCATATTTATAAAGAAAGTTTTCGAAGTTTGAAACTAGCCAAATTGATTTTTTTAAAAATATCTAAGAATAATTTGGTGTTAAACTTTTAATTTAATTAAAACAAATAATATATCTAATTACTATCTTTGTTGTTTTGCACTGCAATTGGCATTACAAGATCATTCCCAAAACACACTATGAGTAGTATTTTGGGTTTTTCTTTTTGTTGTTGTTTTTGCCTTGCTTTCCCCTTGTCAGTGCATGACGGCGGGCGCCGTATGGAACAGTGTCTAGTCGTTCGGATGCACGTAAAGGACTACTGAAAGTTGGAATTCGTAGCGTCGCTGTCCGGACAAAATATCCCACATAGCAAACTGTTTGTCGTATGCCAGTCTTCATTAGCCTAGTCGGTGCAGAAAATTAGGACACTAAGTCCCATTTTATCCTGGAGTAAGTGGTAAAAAAAATGGATAGTTATTTTAAAAATGCAACTGACAGCTTTAATATCAATCTGATTAATATACAGATCTATATTTCCTTTAGTTTTTATAAGCCCACATGGAAATGTGGTCGTATATTGCCGTCGCCCCCGTCCGTCTGTCCGTCCAACGTCCACAATTTCTTGTGAACACTCTCAGACTACATTTTTGAAATTCATATATGTTGTTTGCATTAGTGAGATGAAGAAGCTTATTTAATTTCAATAACTTCACTTAATTTCTTCTGGAGTTATGGCCCTTAATTACATCTAGAGTTATGGCCCGTGTTTCACTTTGTTGCACCTTGTGAACGCTCTAACGACAAAAGTTATCAACCGATCTGTATGAAATTTATATGCATCATTTAAATTAGTAAAACAAAAAATTATATTGAATTTCAGCAATTTCCGTTAATTACGCCGTGAGTTATGGTCCTTGTTTCACTTTGTTGTACCCTGTGAATGCTCTAATGTTAACAGTTATCATCCAATCTGTTTAAAATTTATATGTATGGCTTAAATTAGTAAAACGAACAAGCCTATTGAGTTTCAGCAAATTTCCATTAATTATGCCGTGCATTATGGCCCTTGTTTCACTTTGTTGCACCTTGTGAACGCTCTAACGACAAAAGTGATCAAACGATCTGTATGAAATTTATATGCATCATTTAAATTAGTAAAACAAAGAATCATATTGAATTTCAGCAATTTCCGTTAATTACGCCGTGAGTTATGGCCCTTGTTTCACTTTGTTGTACCTTGTGAATGCTCTGACGACAAACGTAATTATTCGATCTGTATGAAATTTATATGTATGGTTTAAATTAGTAAAACGAACAAGCCTATTGAGTTTCAGCAAATTTCCGTTAATTACATCTAGAGTAATGGCCCCTGTTTCACTTTGTTGAATCTTGTGAACGCTCGAACGACAAAAGTTATCACACAATCTGTATGAAATTCATAGGCATCATTTAAATTAGGTAAATGAAGAAGCCTATTAAATGTAAGCAATTTCCATCAATTACTTCTAGAGTTATGACCCTTGTTTCATTTTGTTGAACCTTGTGAACGTTCGAACGACAAAAGTTATCATCCGATCTGTATGGAATTTTTATGCATTATTTGAATTAGTAAAATTTAAAAAGCCTGTGTTATGGCCCTTATTTTAGTTTTTAGAACCTTGTGAACCCTCAAACGACGAAAATTATAATGTCATCTGTATGAAATTGTCTATTAAATGCCCCTAATTACCTATAAAGAAATAAATATGTTACAACCCTTGTTAATTTAGCTGCTGTGGGCGTATGTTTTGCTGCCTGGCAACCTATCTTTATACTTTCGATGGCCTCCACTACATGAATATCTGACCAGTTGTAGTGGGAGGTCGCATCAGAGATCATACGAGCGGCTTTTGACCCTGTGAAGTCAGGCTTCTGATTTACTAATGTGCGTTGATGTTTCTACTCGGATACCCACAGTTCCGTGAACTGCACGCCAAAAGCTCGCCGTAACAGACCGTTTCATTGGCTAATTCCTCACATCAACTAGAACGCGGGTTATGTAACAACTCTTCCTGATAGTGTTGTAAAGACAAGTAAAACGAAATGTTGAACTATAAAAAACGGGGGGTGGGGGTGGATGGCCGAATGGTTAGCACGTGCGTGCTGTATCATAAGGCCTGTCATTGAGTCAACTGGCGTGGTTCCGAATCCCCGGTTGTACGTGACAAGGAGTAGGGTCACCTGTCCAATGTCGTGGGTTTTCTCCGGGTCCTCCGGTTTCCTCCCACTGCTAAAGACCCCTACGCGCAAGCGAAATATTGAAATAAAATTAAACCATATGTTGGTCCCGAAATGACCTAGTTTGTGTCGAGTGGATGTTAAACCCCATTTTTCTCTCTCTCTCTCTCTCTCTCTCTCTCTCTATAAAAAACGAAACCAAATAGGATCTGTGTTCTAATCAGATTGTTATACGCCCATATTTTCATGTGGACGTATATTGCCATCGCCCCTGTGCGTCCGTCCGTCCACATTTTTTTGTGGATACTCTACAGGTCACAATTTTTATCCGATTTTAGCGATACTTGAAATATAGGTTTATCTCACTAAGATCTCGGTTCCTTTCGATATTCGCATGTATCGGACCGTAACTTCATGGATTATGGCCCCTGATTGTATGAAAATCGCGTTTTTAGCTTGTTTACCCTATAGAGGTCACATTTTTTATTCGATTTTGTTGAAACTTGAAAAGTAAGTTTATAACCTAAAGATCTGGGTACCTTTCGATATTCGCGCAAATCGGACCGTAACTTCCTGAATTATAGCCCCTGAAATGTACGAAAAATTGCGTTTTTAGCATGAGGTCCCTCTAGATGTCACAATTATTATCCGATTTAAAAAAAAAAACGTTCAAATATATCACTGTTACACCGTTCGAATTTCGTGAAAATCGGACCAAAACTGACAGACTAAATGGCCGCACCTCGTACACAATTAGTGTAAACATCTGGTATATCAAAGTTGTGGACCCTCTAGAGGTCACAATTTTGATCTGATTTTGATGAAACTTGAAATGCATATTTATAATCCACGGATCTTGGTTCCTTTCAATATTCGTGCATATCGTATAGTAACTTCCTGAATTATGGTCCCTGATTGTATGAAAAATCATGTTTTTAGCTTGTTGTTCCTCTAGAGGTCACAATTATTATTATCCGATTTAAAAAAAAACGTTCGAATATATCACTGTTACACCGTAATGTTTATTGAATTCGAATTTTGTGAAAATCGGGCCAAAACTGCCGGACAAAATGGCTGCCCCTCGTACGCAAATAGTGTATAGCATCTATTATATCAAGGTTGTGGACCCTCTAGAGGTCACAAATTTTATCCGATTTTGATGAGAGTTGGAATACATGTTTATAACCCAATTCGCGCGTATCGGATCATAACTTCCTGAATTATGGCCCTTGAATGTACAAAAAATCACGTTTTTAGCTTGCCGTCCATGTACATGTAGAGGTCACAATTTTTATAATCGCGTACATCCGAACGTAACTTCTTGGATTATGACTCCTGAGTGTTCGAAAAATCGCATTTTTAGCTTGCGGATTCTCTACAAGTAACATTTTTTTTCCGATTTTAAAAATCGTTTAAATATTTCACTATTCCACCATAATGAAGGTTGAATTCGAATTTCGGGAAAATCGAAATGAAACTGCCCGACAAAATCGCCGCTCTTTGTACGCAAATTGTGTAAAAGTATGCAATACGAAGGTTGTGGACCCTCTAGAGGTCACAATTTTTATCCGATTCTGATGAAACTTAAAACATATCTTTACATCCCAAAGATCTCAGTCCCTTTTGAAATTTGCGCATTTCAGACCATAACTTTCTGGATTATTGCCCCTGATTGTACAAAAAATCCCATTTGTTTTTAGCTTGTTCTCTATCCATCTCTTGCAAAATGTGAACGTATCCTGCCTGGCAGCCGCTAGTTTTAATATGGAAATTAAATGGGGTTAAATGTCCTACTGAATATGAACAAAATATTGCTTTCAAATTATGCAACAAATATGAATATGGTAATAAACATTTCACTTCTTTCGAATTATGGGCGTCAAATATTTATAAATAAAAATAGTAAACAAAAAAACACAATATTCTGGTTCTCAAATAACGCAACGAAAGAAAAGGAAAACAAATTTGTATCTTAGCGAGTCCCGATAAAAGGGGTGGTGGGGGGGGGGGGTAACTCTAATACACGTAAATCATTATTTTAGAAACGCATGTATTTAGTAATTATGAAAGTCACTGCTGTTCCTCGTGAATAAAGAGAGAGAGAGAGAGAGAGAGAGTTTAACGTCTACTCGACACAAAGTAGGTCAATACGGGACTAACATCTGTTTCAATTTTATTTCAATAATTCGCTTGCGCGTAGGGGTCTTTAGCAGTGGGAGGAAACCGGAGGACCCGGAGAAAACCCACGATGTTGGACAGGCGACCCTACTCCTTGTCACGTACAACCGAGGAATCGAAACCACACCAGTTGACTCAATGACAGATCTTATAATGCAGCGCGCACACTCTAATCATTCGGCCACCCAACCCCCCTAAAAATGGTTAGAAATAGGAGAGAGAAATAATTGAAAAACCTAGGAGGATAAAGATATCAATCAATGAATAACTAAATAATACAAGGTAAGTTATTAATCATCAAAGTACAATACTGAACAAAATAAAATTTAAAAGTAACTATTATAAAATCTGAAGAAAAAAAACACCAACAAAGAAATATGTAAACGAAACGAAAATCTAAATCCGAGGATTATTTAGGGTGTGATGGTGAAATAACAATAGAAAGGTGCACTGATGCGATACATCGTATGAGACTAAATACATCACCTACAGTAATATCTTTAATATATAAGATCAGGTATTAATTGGTAATAATAGACAAATATCTTAAAATAAAAGTAAGGTTAATGTAGTATATATTGAAAGTAGAGATACTAAATCTTATTAGAAAAATACTCGATTCTCCGAAAAACATCCACGGGGCGCCCATAAGACAAAAATATAGACTTAATCAATCATCAATTGCATCAAAATGTCAGAACGAGAGTTATAAATAATAGTTGGAAATTTGTAAATGTAAATTCGACTCGGTCAGCAATATTAGCATGTAATCTTTTACCTTACGAAAGTCACGCTGCATCCACTAATTTTTGTCCAAAGTTACTTTAATTGTATCTATTAATTCATCTATATATCGTGTTTTTCCAACGGATACACATCAGGGTAGGTTTGCAGATGTCTTTTCATGTCATTAAATTGTTTCTCTAAATGTTTGGGCACAACGTCATAAACGTCCGTAAACATGGCTTCTGGACTGGGCAGTTTATGTTCCTGTGATGCTTCTAAGATCCGTTTAACCATGTCGATTGATTCTGTCTTCCACTCCAAATCTCTTTTGTCATCCCATAAACCCAGGTTGGTAATGTATTTGCTGAATCTTTCGATCGGGCTGTGGTTCACCTTCCAGTCCTCAACTTCCTCCTCGGTCCTGTAGCTCTGTCCATCCACTAACGTTGTGTGGTTACCCACTCTGTAAGTCATAGCCTCAATTAAAACAGGCCGATTCTGAGATAAACAGATCTCGCGTGCAGCTTTCACGGCGTTGTAGACGGCTAACACGTCATTTCCGTCAATGCGGATTGAAATCATTCCATATCCAGCTCCACGTGCTGCGACGCCATCACCAGAATACTGTTCCTTCAAAGACGTAGAGATAGCATATCCATTATTTCTACAGAAGAAGATGACGGGACAATTCAAAACAGCTGCAAAATTAAAAGCTGGGTGGGCATCACCCTCCGAGGCAGTACCTTCTCCGAAATAGCAAATAACACAATTGCCCCTTTTGGCTAATTTATAAACATAAGCGCTTCCTGCAGCCTGGGGAAGCTGGGTTCCCAGGTTAGAAGATATAGTCACAAAATTTAGATCTTTTGACCCATAATGAACCGGCATTTGTCTTCCCTTATTCAGATCACGATTGTTACATAAACACTGATTCACAAAATTTTCCACCGCGAAACCCCTCCACAAAAGAACTCCCGCTTCTCTATACTGGGCATAAATTAGGTCTTCAGCATCAAGAGCTGCAGCTGAGCCAATTTGAGTTGCTTCTTCTCCATGGTTCGTTAAATAGAAAGACACCACACCACTAGTTTGAGCTTTGGTTAAGACAGTGTCTATAGAATGAATAAGCACCATGTCTTTGTACATTTTAAGGTACATCTCGGGGCTCAGTTTTGGATCTTGATTTTTCATAACGACTTCTCCTCTTCTATTTAATACTCTGTACACTGGTATAAGACATTTCTCCTCGGGGACAATAAAATCAAGTTCGTCACAGTATTCCATATCAGAACCCAAGAACTCATATTTTTCTTTTGTGTGAGAATTTCTCTGATGTGTATTTTCTAAAGATTCCCCATTAATTCCCTTTTTTATATACTGAGAAACATTCTGAATATTCGTTGATTTCAATCTTTTATAATTACTCTGCCACAAACATAACACACCTCGGATTCGAAGACGTCCTCGAAGAATGGGTGCCAAAAGCTTTGGAAACACCGACATCCTTGACAGCGATTTTGGTTCAAGTCTCTCCGCTGTGAGTTACAACTTGATCGCAATTATGATATTTCCTGTACAACTGGCCATAGTCTAGTCTATACCTGATTGCTTTAGCACATTTCACACCTATATGAAGTTTAAAGATTATTACATATTATAATGAACAGTAAACTATTGCTGTTACATTGGTGTATTTGTCAGCCACTATAGTTTGCACATAGAAATGAAGATACGTAGTAGACATCATTAAGCTTTATGTAAATAGACACAACACTTGAAATTTGTTAAATAGTGTCAGTTATAATATAAGTGAATAGCTTAAAGTAGCAGGTTTCACTAAGACTCGGTTTTTAAGGAATAGGATAAAAGGTTTTCAACACAGAATTAAGTAGTATTATTCACTAACAAATACATACGAGACTTCTCCCGTAATTCGCTTCGCAGCTGTGGCGAGTCCTATGATTGATTATACTTAAAGTATCTTTGAAGAGCACTCAACAAAGGTGTAATAAGATCTATAGAGAGAACTTGTAGTATTTTGTTAGATTAGAATTAATCTCCAAAACATTTATACCAAAACATTTTCACGCTTCACTGACGTCTCTGATACATTTGTTAAAGACGTATTCCTTTGACAAAGTTTGGTCCGTTGCCTGCAGGTAGGGCCAGCGCACGTCCATTTAACATAAAACAGTCTACGTTACCATTTAATTGTCAGAAAGTTTATCTTAACGTATCTCGAAACATGCAATATTTTTAGTAAAACAAATACATTTTCCAAATCGATCTCGACCTTCGCGAAAATTATTTTATTGTTAAATTCGCTAATCGTCATTGCAATTTCTAAGTTTTGACTACTTAACCCACTAACAATCGGTAATCTCCCGACATAGAGTCAATGGATAACCAGTGGCTGCCACGCAGGATACGCCCACATTTTGCAAGAGATGGATAGAGAGCAAGCTAAAACAAACGTGATTTTTTGTACAATCAGGGGCAATAATCCAGAAAATGGATATAAAGATATGTTTTAAGTTTCATCAAAATCGGATAAAAATTGTGACCTCTAGAAGGTCCACAACCTTCGTATTACACACTTCTACACAATTTGCGTACAAATGGAACGGGAGGTTGCGTAACGTTGAATATTGATACTCTTTGTCCTCTCATAAACCCAATGCTTCACACCAAACTCTATCATTGGTAGTGAATGCCGAATGTCGACAAATTTTAAATTCATCAAATCATCTTTTTCTAATCTAAATGATGAACCATATTTGGGCTGAAAAGTGATATTCCTTTTAGAGATTCGACTTCCACAACATCATAAGGCTTGTTTGCAAGGAATTTAAAATCCACCAAAAGACTGTCAAAGACTTTATATAATTACCCTGCAGTTTGGATATGTTTTTCCGTGGTTATATTTAGGGATTGAGGCTGTTGAGTGAATACGTCTTTAAAATATGAAAGTTGGTACTAGCCATGATCTGATAAGAATATTCAGTAATGTATTAAATTGTGACGATGACCCTTTTATCATCAGTTTATGTATGGATAATATGTTGGATAACTGTAATACCCTATATTTCAACAGTGAGGTTATTTCTTTTATATAATTCACACACCAGAACATCCTTAATACCAGTTTCCAATAGCAAGTCATTTTGTATACATATTACAGACGCCTCAATTTAATGCACCCCTTTGTCACAGATGATACCTACTGATTAAAACACCTCAAAGGAATGTAATGGCAGGGGAGGGGGTGGGGGTGGGGGTGGGGGTCAATAGCGCTGTCAGATATTTTTGTTTCAGAAGCATGGACGGTTTATGGACATATGAAAGCTCAATGGATAAAACAATAATTTGTTCTTCTCATTGACCGATATGTATAGGCGAACGGGTTCGATGAATGTTAGGAGGAAGAACCATAAACGCTCGAAAAAATGGAGAGCTAAAGTCAGTTATCTTTTGTGCGAGATGGATCGGCGGCCGATGTACCACATCAACCTCACTGGATAAAAATTAATTTGTCCTTCGCATTGACCTATATTATTGATGTTTTATTTAGATTTGTACTTTTCTACACAGGTTAAAAACATAGGTGTCTACCTCCTCAGCCCCTCCCTCGGACCACCGCTTGCATTCGAATTTGGGATAGATAGGTGCTGTCTTAAAGAAAATAAGTAGAGCTTATTTAATACAAATGTAATTGTGTTTTATCTTTGTTTACTTTACACCCTTTTAATATAATTTTGCGAAGGAGATTTATTGACATTAAAATACTTTTAAAATTTATATAAAAAGAGAGAGAGAGAGAGAGAGAGAGAGAGAAATGGGGTTTAACGTCCACTCGACACAAACTAGGTCATTTCGGGACTAACATATGGTTTAATTTTTTTATTTCAATAATTCGCTTGCGCGTAGGGGTCTTTAGCCAGTGGGAGGAAACCGGAGTACCCGGAGAAAACCCACGAGATTGGACAGGCGACCCTACTCCTTGTCACGTATAACCGGGGAATCGAAACCCCGCCAGTTGACTCAATGACATACCGTATGATACAGCGCGCGCTAACCATTCGGCCATACCCCCCCCCCCACACCAGCAGTAAATAGAATATTGTATATTAATATGTAATCCTTGAGTGGCATTTAGCGACTGAGCTCATTAAACAACACAATACAATTTATATGGAAATAATAATCACCGGTTTGGTGCTATATGTGTAGAAACTAGTAATTGGTTTCTGTGTTTCCGTATAAATTATGTTGTGTTGTTTATATTGATATTTGTTCTACTGGGTTGAAAGACATCATTGAGAAAATAATTGACATCAAGAGTTATAAATAGCACTTTTTATCATAAAAATAAAACCACATAAACTTGTTCCTACAGAATTATTTAAATAATTAAATTCCACTCACAAGGGGAAAACACGTCAGAAAATCCCGATGAACTTTCTCGGCGAATGCAAGTACCGAACGCGCGACCTCCAGACTAGCGAGCCATCGTTTTGCCGTCTTAATATGCAATTTTAATAGATTTTAGTTAAAATTGCTTGCGCCCGCGCAATGCACAATTCCGGTTATGACACTTAGGGTGCAAGCATAAAAGCTTCGGAACTGAAAATTGTTGCCAGGTTGAACTAACGGTTACAATACCAATGGGGGAGTTTCATACATTGTAGCAATGTTTGCACATGGTCAGGCAGCCATAGAGGATTCAAATAAATGAGTTTATTGCGTATTATTCGTTTTGAAATGTATCCGTGTTTTGGCCTTGAATTTGCACTCAAACGACTAATCTAGACTATAAATTATCGTTGAATTTTAAAAGTATTTAACAACTTTTAAACTAATACATCAAATAACCAATGTTCCGATGCCTAGATTTGAAATGTAAGCCCAATAGACCCTTTCATTAATACTTTCAAAATGCCAAAATGCCTTATTGGATAATGCCTATCTATCTTATTAGATTAAAATGATTTTTATTAACGAAAGCCTTCATTAAGAAATAATAATACATCTATGATATTAAAATTTAATTTCAAATAGGCCTACAACATTTTTCAATAAACAGATTTAAGATTATTGATTTATCTTTTTAAAAATCATTATAACCCCAAAACCATATGAGTAAATACTTTACATATGGTATGTCATATACCTGAAACAATGGCCCGAGAAATCCCTCTTTGATCATTGCTGGGTTGGCTTCTGATACTTGCGCTTTTGAGGGGGTGTGTCTATTAAAGATCTTCGACTTCGACTCGACAGCAGCTTTTGGTTTTACTAATGTATCATTTCAGAAAGTTTATACTCCTTTACCATATAATAAAATGATTTACAGACTTGCAAGGTCCCACCTCCCTAAGTTTAGCAACGTAGATCAACCAACATGCAGACAGACAGGGGAAGGATGAAAATTCCGAGAAAAACGCATGGAAAATAATGATTAAATTTCAGTCTTTATCGTGGTTAAAATCACATCAAATATACACCTTCTTGTTCTAGGATACACATAGATTTATAAAACGCTATGATACAACATTTCAGCCTCTTACTATAGCACAAAAGACGGTAAAAAAGACGACAAATACGGACCTTTTCCGTATGAAAGCTGTTCGATACGTGCTGCCGTATCCGCGTGCCGTATCGCGTATCAGAAAAATACACACACATTGATGATGTCACACGCAAAATCCATACGGATACGCGTTACGGACCAAAGCCTTATACAGGGAAAGTTACGACTAATGTGTTGTCATCTGGGGTTCCCCAAGGTTCTGTTCTTGGTCCGATTTACCCTCTATACGTTACCATTAGGTGATATTGTCAGAAAATATGGTCTCAGCTTTCATTTGTATGCCGATGATACTCCATTATATATTTCATTTACACCTAATTGTCCATCTTCTTTCAATTTATCAAAATTGCAACTTGATAACTGTATTAGTGAAATTAGAAAATGAATGTCAAAGAACTTTCTAAAATTGAATGATGATAAAACCGAATATATTTGTTATTAGGCTCAAGTCATCAATTAAGTAAATTTGCACCCCCCTGTTATAATTGATAATTGTGATATATTTTCATCTTATTCTGCTCGTAATATTGGTGCAATATTTGTAAATTGTGCTATTTTGATATCAGAAATATAGGTAAAATACGTAAATGTGTAACTGTAGAGGCCACCAAGTCACTTGTTAATTCTCTGGTCGCTTCTCGATTAGATAAAGCTTATAGATAAATTACAAAAAGTACAGAATACTGCAGCTAGACTTGTTACTTTAGCTAAGAAATGTGACCACATAACTCCTGTTTTATATAATTTACACTGGTTACCTGTTAAATATCGAATTGATTTTAAGATTGTATTACTTACTTTTAAATGTTTAAATAATTTAGCTCCTGTTTACCTCTCAGATCTTTTAGAACTTTATACACCTGGCCGAACATTACGTACATCAGATAAACTACTTTTAAAGCCCAAAACTGTTCAACTAGTCTCTTATGGTCAGCGCTCTTTTAGTTATCAAGTACCTGTTTTATGGAATAATCTACCACTTAGTTTACGATGTTGTACATCTCTATATTCTTTTAAAAAACAACTTAAAACACATTTATTTAATCGGGCTTTTAACTGACTCTGTATACAATCGTTGACATATCCATAATCTTGTTGTTTATTTATGATTACATTGTCACTTTGTAAAGTGCCCCCGAACACGTTATATGAAAGGGCGCACTATAAATATGCTGTAATAATAAAAAAAATAATAATAATTATAATAACGTTGCGATGCCTTGTTTTGAAATTCAATCCCCATAGACTTTTTCAAGGGCGCTTTGAAAATACCAGTACCACGCTTTAGTTTGGACAAGGCCTTTCTTACTTAACTTAGGCCTAATTTAGAATTATCATAATTAATTTTTTTTTTCCCCAAGGGAAATACAATTGGCTCCTAAATCTTCTCACAATGTGCTTATCCCATATATGTTATATTGTTAAAGTAAGCTTTCATTAATATTAATCATAATTTAATAAAAATTGAATTTCAAATAGATTTGAATTGAGCCATTAATTTTTTTCCAAGATAAAAAAATACTTCTGGCTCCAACATTACATTGATTCGCTGTGTTTTCATGATTTATGCTCCGTTAATTAAAGTAGGCTGTATTTTTTTAAAAAAATAATTAAAAATGTGAAAATTGAATTTCAAACAAATGGGCCTATAACATTTATCAGTAAACAGATTTGTGCTTATTGATTTATCTTTTTACAAATAATCTTAACCCTAAACCTACATAAGAATGAATACTTTGCGTACATTATATTTAACATAATGGTTCTGGGTGGCATGTATTGTATTGTAGGCCTTTACTGCCTTAAGGCTTTAGGACTTCTAACACCAAGTTTTTCATAGTTATATAACTCCTATTTCATTTCAAAGATTCTCTTCCTCCCCTGCTCCATATCAGATGAGAATTTCTGCACCTTGAACAGTCAAACGTGTTTCCATGGAAACACATAAAATTATCAAATCTGAGAAATTCAAAATAAGTGCCATGAAGATATCTTGAACGATTTATGAGATATGCTCCAGAAACAAAATTGTACACCAAAAACTAAGTAAAATTTGTTTCCATGGAAACACACAAAATATCAATCCCAGAAATTCCTAAATAGCAAAAGGCACAACTACTGTAACGGGTTGATGTGTGTGCAAAGTTTCAGAAAGATATCTTGAACGGTTTATGAGATATGCTCCGGAAACAAAATTGTACACCAAAAACTAAGTCAAATTTGTTTCCATGGAAATTAAATACAAAAAATATTAATCCCAGAAATTCCTAAATAGCAAATAAAAGGCACAACTACTGTAATAGGTTGATGTGTGTGCAAAGTTTCAGAAAGATATCTTGAACGGTTTATGAGATATGCTCCGGAAACCAAATTGTACACAAAAAACTAAGTCATTTTTGTTTCCATTGAAACACACAAAATATCAATCCCAGAAATTCCTAAATGGCAAAAGGCACAACTACTGTAATAGGTTGATGTGTGTGCAAAGTTTCAGAAAGATATCTTGAACGGTTTATGAGATATGCCCCGGAAACAAAATTATACACCAAAAACTAAGTCAAATTTGTTTCCATGGAAACACAAAAAATATAAATCTCAGAAATTCCTAAATAGCAAAAGGCACAACTACAGTAATAGGTTGATGTGTGTGCAAAGTTTCAGAAAGATATCTTGAACGGTTTATGAGACATGCTCCGGAAACAAAATTATACACCAAAAACTAAGTCAAATTTGTTTCCATGGAAACACAAAAAAATATAAATCCCAGAAATTCCCAAATAGCAAAAGGCACAACTACTGTAATAGGTTGATATGTGTGCAAAGTTTCAGAAACATATCTTGAACGGTTTATGAGATATGCTCCGGAAACGAAATTGGACGGACGGACGGACGAACCTCATTTCAATATCCCTCCCTAACTTCGTTCGGCGCGGGATAAAAAAACATATCCTAAATTACAATGCGACAGTAAATAGTAATGGCTGATTCACAAATGGTAAAATAATAACAAAAAAAGAAGATAGGTTGCCAGGCAACGAAACATACGGCCACAGCAGCTAAATCGTCCGGAGAGTCAACAAGAGTTGCCGCATATTTGTACTTTTCTTTTTTTCGGTAATGAAACACTTATAATACACTGACATCTGATTAAGAGTAACAACTCATTAAGTAATTATCAGAAAATCATGCGCCAGACAGGGTAAGCTTACTCTTACGGACACCTGTTACCACTGTTTGTCGTGTATTTTGTACACGGTGAACAGTCCATATGCTGATTACACTATTTTGTCTTATTACACTATTTTGCCTTACCGTTTTTTTTTAGGACTTCGAATTTTGCCTAATGGTTTGGATTGTTCGTACTTGGTTTTTTTTTACTAGAATTTGTTTGGTTTTTAAAAAGTTCTGCCCCATGCTAACGTTTAGTGTACGAAACATTTACTGTCATGGATTTAGCTGTTCAAGTTATCAAAATTGATTGAAAATCAATATACTTGTTCGTCTCAAGATCTTAGACTCTGTGTATCAATCTGAAGTCAATCGGGTGATAACTTTAGCCTCTGGAGCGTCACAAGACTTTTCAAAGTGATCAAGGGCCATAACTTTGGCAGTAATTATCGGAAATCGTTGAAAATCAACAGGATTCTTTGTCTCATGACCTCAAACACTGCGTATAAATTTAAACTGAATCGGATATTAGCGTTAGCCTCTAGAGAATCCACAAGATATTTTGAAGTGATCAAGAGCCATAACACTGGCAGTAATTATCAGAAATTGCTGAAAATCAATAGGCTTCTTCGTCTCATGACCTCAAACACTGTATATATTTAACATAAATCGAATATTAACTTTTGCCTCTAGAGCATCCGCAAGATTTTTTGAAGTGATCAAGGACCATAACTCTGGCAGTAATTATCGGTATGCTTTTCTTTCTGAATTACTAGTGTTGGTCGAGAAAGTTTCCTTGGGATATTTCAGCTGTGTTTTCTCAGTTTGGGATATTCCAGTCATGTTTTCAGTGGTTAATGGGACAGAATGAACAGTGTGATAAGGAAAGCATCTAGCCATTCAGATGGACCGAAAAATTCAGATCCACCTGCACATTCGTTGGTGTGCACATAAAAGAAATCTTGACTGCTGGAATTTGATGAAAAGTTCCTCTCATAAATAGCTCACTTTATGGCATATACCTGTCTTCATTATCCCAGTCGATACAGAACAGTAGGACCAAAAATTCATTTCATTTCAACAAAGTTAGGTGCACTAAAACATAAATTCAAATCCTCTATATTTTTAATATATTTAATATACACCATCTCTCATTATACAATATAATACATTATACAAACATATTTTAACAATTCAGTATGGAATGTGACCAGATATGAAATTTGGACGGATATTTTCTTCAAAAAATTATACACTATATTTGACCAATACACCGTTTGAGGAAAGTAAGTGTAGGGTTTGAAATTCTTTGAATATTTTATTTGGTAATTTTTGCTTGTGAAATATATTAGGGACCTTTCGCACCGGTACGAAAACAAATACAAAAACGAAAACGTCAACCATTCATGTGTACTTGTGACGTCAATCCGTAATGAGTGTTCGGCCAGTGAAAAACGTTACGCGTATGGAGCTGGATTTACGTAGGTATGCAATCGAATATGTTTCTTGTCTCATATATTGAATTTTTCACCATTTTTCAAGCCTTTGTGTATATTGTTGATTGTGTAGCGTTCGTAGAATGTGCTCATAAGGAATATTCTGCTTGATTTGTTGTACATCTGCCGAAAAATCGATTGAAAACTTTGCCTTGACCAAGAAGTTCATGGAGTGGAAATTAACGCCATCTAATTATTATCGTACGTCGGATTGCAAAACCGTGTGTTAGAGGATACGAAAACGAACATATGTTCGTTTTGGTGTTCGTTTTCGTACCGATGCGAAAGGTCCCTAATATCACCGGATTTACTATTTATTTTAACACCACATTTTGACAATTTTATGCTTACAGTCAAAAGTTCTTGACTATTAGGTCATTATTTCTGAATAAAAACCTGTGTATTAAATTATCAAGCTTATAAAATTAATATTTTAATATGCACTGAATCAGAAATAGCTTTAAAGATACATTATGGGAGATTCGATAACGAGTTGGCAGTTCTCACTGTAATAATTAAAAACTAGATAACGTAAAGGCAATTTGCTGAAAATTTCATTCAAATTGATCCACTATGAACCGAGAACTAAGCGAATGAAATTTCTGCCTAGCCTCGGTCATCATTACTAAAGTCAATACGATAAACAGCATAGTCTCGATTATCCATTTAATCATTTAATCGAGAAGGAAAGTTATACAGTAAAACAGGCTCACAATCCACTTAAGATCGCAGGCTAGCGATGCCATCTAGAGTTGATTATGGTCTGGATAAGTTAATTAATGTCTAATTAATAATTTAGATAACATTTCAGGCGTAAAGAAAGACCTGCAATAGACAGATTTAGCTCCTGCATAATGTATGTTTAATTTCAGTGAGACTGTTAATCTGAACAAAATATTTCTTTCAAATGATTCAATAAATATGGATATGACAAATAAATTCACAAACATTTCACTTCTTTTAGGATTATGGAGGTCTGATATATACAGATGACAATAATAAATAATATAAATCAATAAATAAATAGGCCCATACAAAAACAACAAAACATCCTGGTTCTAAGATACTGCCAGTTATTAATACAGGCATGACCTGTTATTGAGAAACCAAGCATAATGCGGTTTTGATTTTTCTGGATGATATTTAGCATACATATTTAAAAATGTTTTTCTTTTCATGTTATTAACAATATTTAATTGTTCAATGATGAATAAATAGCAATAAATAATGTTCAAACGCCGAGTGTTCATTCAAACCAGTACTGTTAGAATCATCTCTGCTCCTGTTCAATTTTCTATGTATCTTGACAAATAGTGTATACCGATGCTTTGATTTTTCAAAGAAATCATTAATTTTCTTATTGATTTTTTTAAAAATAAGGCTGAAATATAAATAATACCAACTATGTCCATAGTATCAGTAGACTGATTGTCAATGTCTCATCTGATTAAAATACAGATATATATTTCGTTTCGTTTTTTTATACTTTCGATGGCCTACACTACATGAAGATCTGACAGTTGTTGTGGAAGGTCGCATCAAAGGTCATACGAGCGGCTTTTGACCCTATGACATCAGACATTTGATTAACCAATCAGCGTTGATGTTCCTAGTGGGTTACCTCACGCCAAAAACTTGCCGTAACAGACCGTTTCATTGGCTAATCCCTCACATCATCCAGAATGCAGGTTATATATAATAACTCTTCCAGGTCCTACTTAGTGTAGTAAAGTCAAGTAAAACGAAATTTTGAACTATAAAAAAAATGAAACGAAATAGAATCTGTGTTTTAATCAGATTGAAAATTTAGTGACTGTGATTCACAGTGTGAAAGTAATTTTCTGTTCTACACAACTGATGATATAAATATAAAACCTTGAATTGTAATATTTGTGATAAGTCGTTTAGTCTCAGCTGTCAGGTGATGCTTTGACAAAATGAAAACAATAAAAAAAAAAAAACCTTTCAACATAATATTGATGTTTCAAATTTTTTTCTGAAAAACAGAATGTTTTTTTATATGGCCTAAATAAGCAATATTTATCTAAAGTTTAGAATGGACCATGACATAATGGACAAGCATGTTTTGTGCGTATTTCTTTCTCTGCGGCTCTGTGTTTACAATGGCTACACATCCAGAATTCATTTTCTAGGATGGGTCGTCCAGTCACAATGCAAGTAGGAAATTTAGAATCACAGCTTGTACACAACGTAGACCTGGAAATAATTAAAAAAACATCTTAATAGAACAGAACAATACTGAATAAAATTAGTAAATATTCTATTGCAGACAAAAATCACATCAAATTCCATTGGTTTCAATTGACGTCCTACTGTTCTGCTCAACTGTGCTAATGAAGAAGGGCATACTCCATACGGTGTGCTATGAGTATGAGGGAAATCTTGCCCGGACAGTGGTGCTACGACCTATTCTTATATCAAATTGCAACTGCCAAGGGTTCTTTTATGTACACGCAAAATGTGTACATGGGACTTCAGTCTTTTGTCACATCCCAAGGATTATACATGCCCTTGCCATAGGGGGCATTTAATCATGCAGTTGGTCCCGGGCATCACCAAATTTCACTTGCATGAGCACTAGAAAAGCATTCATTATATTTGATAAGTGGGTTAACTTACCAATCAGGCATAGGTGAAGCACAGTTTGGACATTCTACTTTATTATTTCTGGTATCTTTAGGACTGTGACTGAAATAAAAAAACACAACAAAACCTCAATGATTTAATATCATATCATTGGTGTGGAGTGTGGGGTCCAAATGGTTGTATATCTGGGTTTTACCAAATTGTTAGGGAGAGCCAAATTGTCACCTAAAATGTTTTGTAACATGGACGGGAAATCTTCCTTTGTCCTTTTCATTGAATAAGCAGATTGTTTTCCCTCTAGTAGATTGGGTGGAGCTTAACCATGCAATAACTAGACATGTTCAATGTTATTGCACACTTTTGCTGGTTTCCACTAATTTTAGTAGAAATCATATAGAGAAGTGGGGTGGGTTTTCTATGCAATAACAACAAGCATGTTAAGCAGGTGTCAATGTTACAGTCATTTATAGTACGCTTCATTCGTTAATAGGTTTAACATCTCGGCCTACAGCCTAGATGTTTAAACCTGTTAACTCATGAAAGCCGTGCTATAAATATAACGTATTTCTCAAGTTTATCTAAAATAAATTCTTCCTGGTTGAATCGAGTACAATAACTGCACAGACTCTGTTAGGTTATATATTATCATAGTTCACACCTACTTTCATTTATACTTGACCCAATGTCATCAACACATTCATTATCTATTCTGATGAATCTACTCTAGGTCTATATATCAGTAGGGCTGTAAACGATACGCCAGGCCACGATACGATGCACATCACGATTCATAGTATACGATATGATTAATATTGCGATATAGGAAATAAATTTAAAGTAGCTAAGTCTCTAACTCAATATCATCCAAAGTCTTCGACATTGAAAACACAAATTATTTGTCAATTTAAATCAACATTGATGTTGTGGTCTTACTGGGAAAAGATGGGCTTCTGATATCCAATATTTAAGACAAAATAAACATTTTACCATTGGTACACGAATCATGCACCATAATAATGTTTCAACGCCATTTGTAACAAAGGGACTCGAAGAATGGGGCTAGACATATTCCACAAGGCATGTCAAACGGTGACACCATATTCTTATCTGGAGAGCATGCGCAATACATACTTTCGATGTTGACAAGAATAATCAGACGCTAGAGTTGCCCTTCGATTGAGACTTCTGACACATTTCGCCGAATATAGCCGATTTGAAATGAGAGTATGAATGGAAAAGGTTTAATGTAAATCAGTTTATATACACTCATATTACACTATTATTATATGTATTGTCATCTATTTGTGTCAATTCCTAGGTCCCAAATATTAGTGATTTAGCTCCTTTAAAAAATGCTGTTAAAATTTGACAGTCTTTCACTGTGTAAATTTGAAGGCCTACTTTTATGATTTACCATAAATGTGGTGTTTTCTCGGTCAACTGACGAGATTTCATTGCCGTCATGCTTAACTTTGCCGTCATGCTTAACACTGCCGTCATGCTTAACGGGAAATCCTAAAAATTCCCATACTTTACTTGTGACTTTAATATCAAATATTAATATACATTGAAAATGTGCTGATCGTAAATTGTTTTGGTCTTTATTTTGATCCACATCAATATTGTTATGTAAAACAGTTTTATTTCAACAACATTGGTGGGACTAAAACCAGAGAAAACCCACGAGGTTGGATCCGGAGAAAACCCACGAGGTTGGACAGGTGGCCCTACTCCTTGTCAAGTACAACCGGGGAATCGAAACCACGCCACTTGACTCAATGACAGACCTTATGATACAATGCGAACACGCTAACCATTCGGCCGGCCAACCCCCCTGATTTAAAAGAGGCCATACAAAAAAAAATATTCTGGTTTTCAGATAATCCTTAACAACAATCTGGTACAGGAGGGAGGTTTTTATTTTTGTCAAGGTTAAATGACTTCTTATTAACTTCACATTTCAAGTCACTACATTTATTTCATCATGTTGTGTATAAGAATATATGATTATCCAGTATTTTTTATGATTGACATTAACATTTATCATGGTTTGATAAATTCTTTATTAAATGAGACAACAGCACATTGTTGGAATCAATCAAATTTTTTATAGAGTTACTTCCTTTAATGTGTTAATTAATGAGCATTTTTTTAACTTTCCTACCTGATTTAAAATAAAAATGTATCATACTGCCCTTTTCCAAGTGGTTATCTGACAACCAGAATATTTCTTTTATATGAAATGAAATGGGGTTTAACGTCCTACTTGCTCTGAACTGGGCTAATGAAGACGGGCATACGCCATACAGTGTGCTATGAGGGGAAATTTTGCCCGGACAGCGGCACTACGGCCTACTCTTATATCGAATTCCAACTGTCAAAGGATCTTTTACGTGCATGCCAATGTGTACACGGGTCCTCGGTTTTTCGTACCATCCGAATGACTAGACAGCTCTCCTTGTCAGGTCCATCTGTCCGGCATCACTGACAAGGGGGAACCACGTTAGAAAATCTGGATGAACTTTCTCGGCCAATGCAGCGATCGAACACCCGACCTCCAGACTAGCGAGCCAGTGTCTTACCCACTTAGCCACTGTGATGGCCTAAACATAACTATATACAGAGTACTTACTGTGTAAATATTTCTAAAGCTAGTTCAGAATAAAGTTGTTTTTGTTCTGGAGATATTGTATCAATAGACTCTAATTTTATAAAAGCTTTTGAACATGTTCCAAATCCTTTATTAGCTGTAGATACCAATGCTAAATTGAAAAAAAACCCAAAACAAACAAGAATCAGTTATCAACAACCACAGGGAAACACAAAGATAGGTTGCCAGGTAACGAAACATACGCCCACAGCAGCTAAGTCGTCTGAGCAGTCATCAAGAGTTGACACATATTTTTTCTTTTGCCGGTAATGAAACATTTATAATACACTAAAATCTGATTAAGAGAAACAACTCTTTAAGTAATTACCAGATAAATCATTCAAATTTGTTTGACTTATAGTTTTGCCCCATCTGTTTAGAAATCAATACATTTAATATGATGGATTTAGCTGTTCAAGTTATCAAAATTCATTGAAAATCAATAGACTTGTTAATCTCAAGACCTTAAACTCTGAGTATCAATCTAAAGTCAATCGGATATTAACTTGAGCCTCTAGAGCGTTCACCAGATATTTCAAGGTCATCAAGGGCCATAACTCTGAACTCTGGCAGTAATTATCAGAAATTGTTGAAAATGAATGTGATTCTTCCTCTCATGACCTTAAACTCTGTGTATAAATTTAAAGTCAATCTGATATTAACTGTAGCCTCCAGAGCGCCCCCAAGCAACGACAATATGCGACCACATTTCAATGTGGACATATCACAACAGAGAATAATAAGGCTATTCATAGAATAAATTTACAGCTATTGTTCTTTAGTTTAGATTTTTCAACTTGATTTATTGTTCACAGATCAATGAACTTCAACAATAACATTTTGTTTTTTGACGTTGTAGGCCTTTAAAAACTCTCCAACTAAAGGCAATTAAGTGCATGTCACAAAATAAAGCAGATAATTTCTGCTATTTTTTGTTTAAAATTCAAAAGAACCTAAATTCAAAACAATCTCTTAGATCACATAGCCTAAACAATAAACATGTATACTATCTTTGTAATCTTAATGTAAACGCCTATCACATTCAATCATAAACTAAATGACTATTATATTTAATGGCAGTTTTGAGAACAAGTCTACCTACATGACCCATTTAACACTGGTTTGAATACTAAATAGAAAGTGTTGATCTCCGCCTAAATTTTACACCACACTTTTCCTTACAATAACTTTTTATTTTAATATTCAAGATAGGTTGCCAGGCAACGAAACATACGCAAACAACAGCTAAATCGTCCCAGCGGTCGACAAGGGTTGTAGCACATTTATTCTTTTGTAGATAATTAGGGGCATTTATTTACAAGACAATTTCATACAGATCAGATTATAATTTTCGTCGTTTGAGGGTTCACAACAAGGTTCTACAAACTGAAACAAGGACCTTAAATCTGGTAGTAATTTACAGAAATTGTTGAACTTCGACCGGCTTTTTCGTTTTACTAATTCAAATAATGCATATAAATTTCATACAGATTGGATTATAACTTTGTCATTTGAACATTCACAAGTTCAACAAAGTAAAACAAGGGCCATAAATTTAGAAGTAATTGACAGAAATTGCTGAAATTCAATAGGCTTCTTCATTTCACTAATTTAAATAATGCATATAAATTTCATACAGATTGGATGATAACTTTCATCATTGGAGCGTTCACAAGGTTCAATGAGGTTCAAAACTCTACAAGTACTTATTTGAAATTGCTGAAATTCAATAGGATTCTTTGTTTCACTAATTCAAATGATGCATATAAATTTCATACAGATCAGATCATGATAACTTTTATCATTCGAATGTTCACAAGGTTCAGCAAAGTTAAACAAGAGCGATAACTCTAGACGTAATTATTGGAAATTGCTGTAAATCTATAGGAGTCTTTGGGTCACTAATTTAAATGATCTGTATAAATTTCATACAGATCGGATGATGACTTTTGTCGTTAGAGCATTCACAAGTGCAACAAGAAGAAATTAATTTAAATTATTGATATTAAATTGAGTCAAGGGGCATGGTTTTGATTTCCGGCTTGTATGTGACAAGGAGTAGGGTCGTCTGTCCAACCTCATGGGTTTTCTCTGGGTCCTCCGATTTGCCCCCCCACTGCTAAAGACCCCAATGCGCCAGCGAATCAATCTCTCTCTCTCTAAACAAAATCACAGCAGATTAAATCCCAATCAGATTGAATACAGACCCATCAAAAGATTTTACCCATCACTTAGAAGTGGTGCTGGTTTGTTTATTTGCCGTTTGTGATATTTCCAATTCATTAAATCTTTGTAAATGCTGAACAGGATTGAACCATTTTTGAACTGCTACTTCCAATTACACAATATTGTAGTTTACAAGAGATTAAAATTCCTTCAAATGACAATTAAGAGTTTTATTTCTAAAATGGATTACTAACCTAACAGAGAGTATATATCCAGTGGATCAATGATGTCCTCAAAATCTCGTAAATGAAGAGCAGTTCTCATAGCAGCATCAACATAACCTGGTGTAAAAAAAAATTACAATCAAATTTAACAGAAAAAATTTAGAACAGTTTTTACAGAGAGTCTATTGTTACACCAGTTGGGAAGCTGATTTGGATACAGAAAATTTGTGTAATCCTGGCCCTGGTCAAGGAAGGAAAGGCACCACCCAAATCTTGTTTCACAAGCCATTCCAGTGGGACATGAAACTGCATTTCATTTTATTTCACAAGCCATTCCTATAACGACCAACTAGACAAGTTATAAACATACTCAACAGTAAACAAAAATTTAAAACTAACTTCTTGTTAAAGCTTGTCATATATTTGAATATGGTGGCATAATTATCAATAAATGCTTTTTTTTAAAATTGAAGAGTCCAGGGGAAGAACGATCTAACTCACATTTTTGTCTTTTTGCATAAAAGGCAAAACAGACTTTTGAATGAGATTGCTTGACGCAAAAAGAACTAAGAGTGGGTTTAATTACAACTTCAAAATTATGTTTAATACAAATCAGAATTACCAGTACAACAACTGATTTCCACTTTTCAGCCAAATAAAGGTCAAATAAAGGGTACGATCAGGGTTCTATAAAAGTTGCGGGTGCGTGCGCACACACTTGAAAATGTGCCTGCAGGGTCATACTGAAACACAGGGATGTAGCCAGGATTTTGTGAGTGGTGTTAAAATATATTTGGCGAGCGGACTGAGGCAAAAAAAATTTTTGGGGAGGGGAAGTGGTCTTTTATTAAAATTATACCCTTCTTGGTGTATTTTCAGAGCATCTGCTGCCTTTTGTATTTGGTTCAGTGCAAATCAAATTTCCATTATATTCAAATTTTACCAAATTCACTTAATTTTCATCAATGATACAGGGATCTAAAACCTTTTTGACACCACCCGACCGAGCATAAAATTGTCCCGCCCCACTCTGTTTCTCTGGATAGATAAGTTGAGGACCTTTCGGTATTTGTTGTTTTGTTGGGTTTTTTTTTCAACTATTACTTTATTACTTTGAGATTAAAAATTATTCAAACCGTGTTTATGTTTTATTTGAGTACAACGAATTATGACAACAGGTAGATATTGATAATTAAAACACGTTGTATTATTTGACTTGTTTGTAAAGTTGTTGTACGTGTCTCACGAGTATTATTATTATTACGGTGGAATGAGAATCAGGTCAGGCAGAAACTGAGAAAGCTCTCATCGTCCTCCTAGTCCTACTCTCGGGCCGTAGCAAATCCACGGTCAACACAGGTAAGAAATAAAATAAGATCATCGTGAAAATTTGCAGGCACGTGTTGGACAATTACGACATTCAAACCTTTAACATTGGAGTGCCGTAAATTGGTCTGGGTGACCTATTTACGGCAAATAAACAAATATAAAGACCGTAGAATTATTGTAAAATGAATAGACCTAGGCATACACATCTTCTAAGTATAAATAAACAAAATACCAATACATCTTTCTTTAAACTAATTTGGGATGATAGGGTCTACTACGACACACAAAAATAAATTATGCCGTGACAGACATGGTTTGCGTACGTCGGCTTTTACCATGGCTTTGCCGTTTAATTGCCGTGGTAAATTTCGAGCGCCGAGTTTGTGTACAGAGAAGGACGAAGGGGTTTAAATACGACTGGGCCTTTTTTGATTTTTTCTTTGTGCTGGGCGGCAAAAAATAGTGCCGGGCGCAGGCGCCACCTGGCGTGGCTACATCTTTAAAAATGAGCCTGCAAAAAAAAAATTTTAAAGAAAATGTGCCTGCGCACGCCATGTGCATGTGCGCGGAAATATCGATGCCTGGACCGTACGATGGACTTGTATTTGTCTGGGAGGCCATTTCAAAAAGGTCTTGGTTTGATGTGACTGATCGTTTTTACCTGAAGTCAATTGTTCTACAGAAAGCTTATAAAATTTGCTACCAGATGGCGCCATTAACTGGGGTTTGTTGAAAAAGTGACTTAGATCGATGTTCCCCGGGGCTTTTCAATTTATAGTTGGTCAGCCTCAAACATTGAATATATATTTCGCCAACATATCTAATCACTGTTTCAGTTCCATGACTCGTGTAATACAGGAATTTAAATAGCAGTATGTGTTTTCTTGGCTTGGTTTCTTTTAGATGTCAGAGCCACGGTAGGTCAGAGCTTAAGATGTTGGCTTGTTAACCTGGAGGACCTGTATTTGACCCTGAAGTGGCCGAGAAAGTTCAACTTGATTTTCTGGCACGATTTCCCCTTGGTCAGTATTGCAGGTCAGTCGGCCTGGCAAGGACAAGGCATAGTTATTCAGATGGGACGGAAAACTGAGGTTTCACTGGAATTTGATATACAAGTAGGAAGTAGTGCTGCTGTCCAGGCAAATTCCCCTTATAGCACACTGTACGCCGTATGTACGTCTTCATTAGCCCAGTCGGAGCAGAACAGTAGGATGTTAAACCCCATTTTATTTCATTAGTAGTAGTATATCATTTGTGATGGGGGTGCAGATATTTTACTAGTTTTGCCATCAAATTTCGTATATTTATCTTGGACATATTCTCCAATGTATATTACCTTCATGTAATTGTCTTTGTGCCATGATATAGAAATGATACGCCTCAGCACCTCTCCATACATTATCTATAATCTTAGTATCATTCATACTAACATCTTCTTCTAGAAAACCTGCTAATGCTGTCGCAGCCTAAAAACATAACATATATCTTGTATATCTTATATACATTATTAATATCTGAATACGCGCATACAGAGCACTGCTAGCTTATATGATTTAATCTATGTCAGAATGAAGTAAAGTGGAGAATTTTTTACCTGGATGTATTTTTTATTTATTTATGCATTTATCTACCGTAAACAAAGAAGTACTTGTACTTTATCTACTTTAAAATATATATATATATATATATATATAGTAAAATTTATGTTGGCAAAATGAAACTACATAATTTGTGCTAACGTTTTCACAACCGGATTTATTATAACATATACATTTCATAAATATTCAGAGAGGGACAGGGAGGGGGAAAAGAAAAGGAAAGGGGCGGGAGATCGAGAGAGAGTATATAGTGGGAACTACATTTGACTTTCTAATGTACAGGCTGTACGACTTGGCAATTAATCTATCTGTACAAGGATTCTTTATAAGCATTGCAAATACAACAATATGATTAAAATACAGATGTATATTTAGTTTGTTTTTTTTATACTTTCGATGGCCTACACTACATGAAGATCTGACAAGTTGTACTCGAAGGTCGGGTCAGGGGTCGTACTAACGGCTTTTGACCCTAAAAGGTCAGACATTGATTAATCAATCAGCATTGATGTTTCTAGTGGTTTACCCACAGTTCTGTGCATGGCACGCCAAGAAGTCGCGCAGTAACAGACTGTTTCATTGGCTTATTCCTCATTACAACCAAAATGCCGGTAATATAACAACTCTTCCAGATCTTAGTGTAGTTAAGACAAGTAAAACAAAATTTTGAACTATAAAAAACGAAACGTAATTGGATCTGTGTTTTAATCAGCATTAAAAATTCAAAAATAATTCTTTACAACAGACAATTGTTTCAGTTTGTGCTAGGATCAATTGGGTTTGAATTCTGTATCAAGACTGGTTTGAAAATTCCTGATTGATCTTCTTATTTACAATTACAACTTAAAGTAACGATCAGGGCTCTGTTTCAGACATATTTGCCAGTTGTGACCCTCTAGCGGGTCGAACTTGCGTGTCAGTCACGAAATTTAAATTTCAAAGAATTTAACTTCAAAACACAACAAATACTGTTGAATTGATATTTTTTATGTGTAAAATTTAGATAAAGCTAAAAATCGTCATATCTTTTGAGAAAATATTTTGTTAATCTGAGGTAAACAAAATCCATCAAAAGTTAACTGCCTACTCAAATTTTTGAGAGCCCTGGTAAACATGCCACGTTAACGATCGTAAATGCAACATACCTCAGCTTTCCTGCCTTTTGATTTATTTCTAGATGTTAATTTCATGGCTTCGTGATATTGTTCAACCATCAGACCAGCCAATACGTAGAGTTTCTTCATCATTAGTGGTTTACTACGCTGTTTACCTTGATCTTCAGACATCTATATTAATCAACAATCACATCAGATTAATTTTCTAGCAAACATGGAAACAAAGAGAGAGAGAGAGAGAGAGAGAGAGAGAGAGAGAGAGAGAGATGGGGTTAATGTCCACTGGACACAAACTAGGTCATTTTGGGACTAACACATGGTTCAATTTTATTCCAATAATTCACTTGCGCGTAGGGTTTTTTAGCAGTAGGAGAAAACCGGAGGGCCCAGAGAAAACAAACGAACGAGGTTAGACTGCCGACCTTACTCCTTGTCACGTACAACTGGGGAATTGAAACCATGCCTGCTAGTTGACTCATAGACAGACCTCATTATACAGCCTCATTATAGGTTCTCCCCAACACCTGAATGAACAATCTGTCCTAATTGTTCACAAGATAATTTAGTAATTTATGGGCGAAATGAATAATCCTAAAAATACCATCCAGTACTTATTGTTCTCACAAAGGTAACAGCAATAGGCTATACATCCTAATTAAATCTCGCAGTATAAAAAGACACTGAAAACAGTTAACAGTTCTTCTTGAACTGGTGTTTCTACATAACCTACTAGCAGGATACCCAATATCGACAGGGGTCAAATATCAACAGGGGCTCAAATTTGCCCAGGGTCCAAATTCACCTGGGGCACAATTTGCCCTGGTCCCAAATTCGATAGCCTAAAGTAAATGGTGAATTATAAAGTCTATCATTGAGTCAAGTGGCATGGTTTCGATTCCCTGCTTGTACGTGGCCAGGAGTAGAGTCGCCTGTCCAACCTCATGGGTATTCTCTGGGTCCTCCAGTTTCCAAGACCAATACGTGCACGCAAATTATTGAAATAAAGTTGAAACATGTTAGTCCCGAAATGACCTAGTTTGTGTCGAGTGGGAGTTAAACCCAATTTCTCTCTCTCTCTTTCCATAAGTATGTTTATTAATTTTCTTTATGTTAAAATTATTCTTACTTTATATAAGATTTTAGCAGCTTCCATAAAATGTCCAGCCTTTCTGTACAGTTCAATAGCATTGATTTGTTTATTTTTCTCCAGTAAATGTTGGGCATATTTAGCCAGAAGCGTATCAATTTCTCGTACATTATGAGTTTTAGCTAAATCAATGGCAGTATTCCACTGGTTCAACTGTACACAACAATCAATGGCTTCCTTTATTTTATTACACTGAAGAACAAGAAAACAGAACCAAATATAATATCTTGTCAGTGATGTTTATAAAATCTGTTACTTTTATCTAGATTGGGAAAACATGGTGACCTGCTGGTGAGTATGGTGCTAGTTCACTAATCACACTGTCATATAGTAATGTCACCTTTCATGGAAGAGTTTCCTCCCCTTTGTTGTATATTGGAGTCCCTGGGAGTTATCTCCCATGTGTGGAATCTCTTGTACTTAGAGAGAGGGTGAGTAAAACATGGCTTATCACAGGTGGTTTTTAGATTGAATACATTTTATCCATGTCATCCACGGTGAACCAGAGAACTACCCCCACATGATGGAGATGCCAAACCACCCGGTCTGACAAGAAAAAGCATCTAACCGTTCAGATCGAACAGAATACCAAGTTATGTCCGTCTTTTTTGGATTGGCTTTCTCCATTTCATTTCATTTTTATAATTTAAAATTTAATGTCACAAATTTAACACAGTCATTTTATTCACATTGTTTAATGGCAATACACAGGATTTCATTTCAATATGCATTCAAAGTTTGAAAAGAATGTCACTATGGAATCAGCAGAATTCAATCTACAGGAAATCTTCAGAATGACAAGACACAAGATTGTGACAATCACAGACATTTTTACTGAATGACCGGGGACATTTTTTTATGGACAAGACTTGTCAAGTTTGTTGCAAAGATAATATCTGATAGTACTGTAGATGCTAATGGCTGTTCAACGGATCTCTTCTCTTCTTTTGATATTTTTCTGATCACTAACTTTCCTTGTATCCCTTTTTTGTTGACTGACATTCGAGATGGCAAAAATGTTTTGTGTTTAGAAAAATTAATTCAAATTAATAATGTTACCTTTCTGTAAGAATTAACAGCCTGATCACACATTCCAACACTTAAAAACATCTTAGCTATATCCTACAACACAAAATCATATCATAATTTATCAATTATAAATAAAGCATCCTCTCAAATTGTAAACAATTGGACAAAAGGGAAATTTTACCAGGTAAGAAATCGGGGTTGCCAGTAACAAGGACAGCATGCTAAGTCTTTTGGATAGAACAAAAAAACCTGTGGTCTTCACCTGTGTACGTATTGGCATGCACATAAAAGAACATTTGATAGTTTGAATTCGAAGAAGAGTAGGTAGAAATACCACTACCTGGGCAAAATTCTCTAACTAGCAATGTATATATGTTAATAAAATGACCAAAGTTCTGTGGGGAGCTACTGTGGCTAAGTGGGTAAGACGCTGGCGCACTAGCCTGGAGGTCGCATGTTCGATCCCTGCATTGGCTGAGGAAGTTCATCTTGATTTTTACAGCGTGGTTTCCCCTTGTCAGTGGTGCTGAACAGAGGGCCTGACAAGGCCAGCTGTCTAGTCGTTCAGATGGGCACGAAAAACTGAGGACCCGTGTATATTGATGTGCACGTAAAACATCCCTTGGCAGTTGGAATTCGATTTAAGAGTAGGCCATAGTGCCGCTGCCCACGTCAAATTCCCCTCATAGCACCACTGTATGGCATGTGCCCATCTTCATTAGCCCATTAGGAGCAGAACAGTAGGATGTTAAACCCCCATTTCATTTCATCTCCAAAGTCTAATGTTGACAGACTTTAAACCCACAACACAGGATTAAAATCTCAGCTTTAACAGGAATATATATGTCTTAACCAGGAAAACATATGGTTTACCAGGAATACACATGGTTTACCAGGAATACATATGGTTTACCAGGAATACACGTCTTTACCCGGAATACTTATGGCTCTACCCAGAATACACATGGCTCTATCAGGAATACACATGGCTTTACCTGGAATACACATGGCTTTACCCGGAATACACATGGTTTTATCAGGAATACATATGGCTTTAACTGGAATACATATAGTTTTACCTAGACTATATGTACGATTCCACCTGGAATATATATATGATTTCACCAGGAATATACATGGCTTTACCGGGAATACACAAGACAATACTTACTGGTAATAATTTATGATTTTCTGGTAAAGAATCGACCATGGTCTCCAGACCTTGATATTCTTCTAACATATAATAACATTCAGCTAATCTTTCTTGATTTCTGCCTCGAAGATAATACTTTACAGCTTCTGGCCTATACAAAATATATCAATACTGTGGTATCAAGAACTCTTTTTAAAAGCCTATATTTAGCTTCATCTCACACACCCAATCGTTCAGAACCATGCACATGTATTTGTAACAAATCAGAGAGACTGTATCAGGGTTTAACATCCAATCAACACAGACTAACATAAGGTAAGTCTTCAACTGTAACAGGGTTCTGCAACAGCAGGAGGAAACCGTAGGACACAGGCAACCCTAGTCCTTATCATGTTCCATATGTTTGATAGATAGAAATGGGATAACCCACGAGGTTGGACAGGCGACCCTACATCTCGTCACGTGCAACCGGAGAATCAAAACCACACCAGTGGCAGACCTGATGATACAGCGCGCACATGCTAACCATTCGGCCATCAACAACCCTTCCACATGTTTGAGATCGAAATCATTTCTACTGACTCAATAACGGAGGTAGAGATAATATAAAGTGCCATATTAGACCACTCATATACAACATATTATCTTGAGTTGGAAAATGATGTATTACCATTTTTGAATATCTGCATATTGATCGCCAATAGCATTACAAGCTTCCTCCATTTGTAAATCATCTCCACCTCCCCCAGTTGTTAACATCTGGTGTACTCTCATCCAATCACCTAGTTTCTTTCTCATACCAATGGCTAGATCTCTGTTTAATTAGCAAAAACAACTACTTACTAAACCACATGTACAGCAATATGTATCATCATTACTGATAAATCATTTTTAAGATTTCTGAGCAAAATTCGGATAAAAAACATTTAAAGAGAATGTTGAAAAATAATTTGCGAATGAACAAGATTACTTAAAAGGTGCATGGTGTGAAGCCAAATTATTTTTATGCAAATTAAATATTACATTAATTATTTTACCTTCGGTCCATTTCGATATAAGTTTTTTCTGCTTCATCGTATCTTCCAAAATATGCTGCAACTTCAGCTTTCTTTAAATTCTCATTCTGGGGAAAAAAACAACATGAGTAAAAATTTATCTTTGGTGAATGGGTTTGATCATCACACTACAGCAGTGAATCGCACAAATTTGTCAATCAAGCATTATCACGTCCTCTATATACCCAGTGGTTTTGTTCCATTCTACTCCACTAAACCCTGGGTGCATTCACTGGGGAGACACATAGTCAAATTATCCACCTTTGATACTTGTGTTATTTTTATCGACCAATCGAGTGGGTGATGGGAAGTAACTCGCAATTTATTCCAACTAAGATTATTGTGGTGAACAGAAACGATGTCACTAAGACTGGTATGTAAACTGTTTTTTGATTGGTTCGTAGAATCAATCTACGATCAAGGGCAGATAATTTGAATTCGTGAAAACCCTGTGAATAGATACAGGGCTTTGTGGGGTAGAACCAAACCATGCCACTGGGGATACCGAGGATGGAATTATCACTGGTTTGTGATTTATTCAGAAATAATCAACCAGAGTTGTCTCCCGTCAACAGAAACTATTTTAATAGTGCCCTGCTTTCTTCGAAAAGCTGAGGACAACAATAATCAATAAAGTTTATATTACCTGTAAATTTCCAATTTTTTTAACAAATTCTATAGCAGGGTAATCTTTACATTTCACAAATGCTGTTTCTGCTACATTTAGTTCTAAAGCTTCTAGTGCTGCCTTGGCTAATAGTCTCCTACAAACACAAAGTAGTTAGATTTTATTAAATATTCCAGTTCTGAGGCAATCCTTCAAAAAAATTATAATGTTTTTTATTTTTATATTTTTATTTTGTAAAGGTTACTGTGGCTACATGACTTTTCACAAGCATCACATTTCAAAGTTCTATCTTTAAGCATCATCTGATTATCCATGCCATTTACAAAATGAAATGAAATGGGGTTTAACGTCCTACTGTTCTGCTCCTATACTGGGCTAATGAAGACGGGCATACGCCATACAGTGTGCTATGAGGGAAATTTTGCCCGGGCAGCGGCACTATCGCCTACTCTTATATCGAATTCCAACTGCCAGGGGATCTTTTACGTGCATTCCAATATATACACAGGACCTCAGTTTTTCGTATCATCCGAAGGACTAGACAGCTGTCCTTGTCAGACCCTCCGTTCTGCACCACTGACAAGGGGAAACCACGTCGGAAAATCTGGATGAACTTTCTCGGCCAACGCAGGGATCGAACACCCGACCTCCAGGCTAGCGAGCCAGCGTCTTAACCACCTAGCCATCGTGGCTCCATGCCATTTACAGGAAATCACTTACATAATTACTAATTCTCTTGTTACATAATTTGTCATATTCCCTTATTATGTTTTTTTTCAATGACCTGTCTAGTGTCACATAGTGGTTTATTGAATATTGTGGTCTGAAACCTTGCATTTAAGTACATATCAGTTATCTCCCTTATTTCTGCCTTTCTGAGTAATAAAGATAGAGATTGAAATTCTAACAAGGATTGTTTTTCACTTTCACTCACAAGTTTAATGTAACACCCCAGGATCCAAGGATCCAAATATAACATGGTGGTGTCTAATATCAACAGTTAAAAGTCCCAAGATCACCAAATCCAACTCCTAATCATATTAGAATATGTTTTTTTTTGTCAGTGATGCAGCTGTTCTTGAGACAAAAAATCTTACCATAATCTAGGGTGTGGATTTTCTTCTATGAATTGTTGAGCATCTTGTATTCCTACTTTCTCTAACAGATCAGCTGTATCTCTCAGGGACTAAAACATAAACCAGAAAGAATATTATAATGAATGGAACTGAATTGCCAACGCTGAAAGTAGACATTAAAAGGGCATTAAGTAAGATTAGATAAAGAGCTGACAGTTCTTGCTATAATAGTTTAAAAATAGATAATGGAAAGAGAATATGTTGAAAATTTCAGTCAAATTGCTTCACTCTGAACCCAGATATTAGCAATTTAATTTTAGTCTAGCTTTGACTGTGATTACCACCCTTGTTACGGTTATTTCATCCACCACAAAACGTATTCAAATCCATTAGACATCACAGGCATACGATGGCATCAAGAGTTGACTATGGTCCTACACCACAGACAAGTGGAATTCAAATTAGAGATTAAATACCAAGTAACTTTTATCGGCAAAAACCAGGATTGAACCTTGCCCCTCCTGGTTAATGAGCATGTGCCTTACTGCGCCACTGCAGGGTTCCCGCGGCTTCGTCAAACATTTTTTCAAGGATATTCAAGGATAAATATACGTCAAATTCAAGGATTCTCAAGGACATTTTTTAGCCTAAAGTTTACACTTTTCATCTTAAAAATAACCAAAACATTACCAACTATCGTTATAATCTCATATTTAAAAGGAATTGAAGACATTTGAAACAAAATTAAGGATCTCAACTGAAATTCAAGGATATTTTCCTATTTCCGCGAAATTCAAGGATATTCAAGACCTTGAAAATGAAATTTTAAATTTAAGAATATTCAAGGATTTTCAAGGACCACGGGAACCCTGCACTGTGGTGTGCCACTGAACTTGATTACCTTAATTTCCATTTCCAGTACATCTTCTACTTTAGGACTGTCAGGATCTTTCATGATTTCATCTAACAGGACAGATTTAATTTGTAGATCATTAAACTGACAAATATAACCACTGCTTAATATTGGTTCCTGAAGGAGAAAACAAATCAGTTTGAATCAAATCTAACATAACACAGCCTTATATAACATAAAACTATTCAAATTTACTTCTTTAGTAGTTAAACATACATTATGCAAGAGCTAAATCTGCCTACTGCAGGTCTTTCTTTAGGCCTGAAATGTTTTCTAAATTAGTAATTAGACATTAATTAACTTATCCAGGGCATAATCAACTCTCGATGGCATCGGATTTCTCCGATATTAAATAGATTTAGAACAGTTCAACCATATTTTGATTTAAGCTAAAAATAGAAGAGCGAGACTTAGCTTCAAACAACCAGTGCGGTGGTTGAAATTATTGCACACGTCTTGTCAAACCTTCAAAGGCTAATATCTGCGCTCGCAATAGAGTAATTTGAATAAAATTTTCAAATATTCATTTTACATTATCTATTTTCGAACTATTATAGCAAGAATGGCTAGTTCTTTATCTAAATCTTACATAATGTATCTTTAACAAGCGGTTGCCATGCAAGGTATGCCCACATTTTGCAAGAGATGGATAGAGAACGAGCCCAATTCAATATCCCTTTAGTGCCAGATAAAATAAATATCATGTGTAGGTCATACACTGATTACAACCACAAACTAACCACTTGTATGGGACTAGGATATAAAAATTTGTTGAGTTTAGCTTTAGTCTCAAAAAAGCTGGGATGGTACTTTTTATTTTATCTAATTTCTAAACACTAATAAATTTACCTCTGGATCAAGTTTTCTAAAGATATACATTCTTGTTTTCTCCATCATAGCAAATAATTCACTATTATCCTGTAAAACAATATAAATACAATAACTGAACAATACATAATGATCAGTCAAATGACCCACCAGGAAAAACAAGTTAATAAATCAAGTTAAAATCAAGATGTGACGTCATCCTGTGATGTTGGCGTACCATTTATACTAGTCGAAATTTTGGATCCGCGTGATATATTTCATTGCAAATCACGTGCGATTGCCTGTATTTTAAGTTGTTTAATGTTCTCGATCTTAAGACATTGCGTAATATATTGAAACAACAGCTCGGGACTATGTCCCTCGTGTTGTTTCAATATATTACTTAATGTCTCGCTCTCGACCATTAAACCACACATAATGCAGACATTAATCATATTTTCAGAGTCTAGCCAAATAATCTGAGGCAAGCCAAACATGAGAATGTGACAGCAGCACTTCCAACTATGTTTCTCTGAATTCCAACTGGCACGCCAATACCACATTGTAGAGTAATATATAAGGCAAGTAGAATGATGGTGTAATACACAGAGCAAATAGAATTGTAGTATAATGCGGAGATCAAAAGGAATGGTAGTGTAATACACAGAGCATGTAGAATTGTAGTGTAATACACAGACCATACAGAATTGTAGTGTAATACACAGAGCATGTACAATTGTAGTGCAATACACAGAGAATGTATAATGGTAGTATCATGCAGAGAACATACATAATTATAGCATATTACACAGAGCATACAGAATATTACACTGAGCATGTAGAATTGTAACATAACATACAGAGAATACAGAATGGTAGCATATTACACAGAGAGCATGTAGGATTTAACATAATAATACACAGAGCAAATAGAATGGTAGCATACTGTATGTTTATAGAAAGGATTTTCTACTTACATCAGCCCATTTCATATCCCAAACATCTTTTCTCTCAAATTTGAGATGTTCACCCACGACCTCTCGTCCGTCTTGGTCAGTTACTCTAGCATCGAGGTCAAAGAAGGTCAATACACCAGCAATGTCAATAATAGCCAAACGACTGAAGTGGAAATGGAAATAACAAATCTCAGTTTTCAGTAGGAATATGGCAATTAAAATTCTTTCTTCGTAAACAAATATTAAAATAAATTATGATCTGTCAACAATAAATCTCTGTGTTTTTTGTTTAACCATTACTAATTTTAAAGATACATTATGGGACATTAGATAAAGAGTCGGCAGTTCTTACTATAATAGTTAAAAACTAGATAATGTAAAGGGAATTTGCTGAAAATTTCAGTCAAATTGATCCACTCTGAACCGAGAATTTAGCAATTGAATTTGGGGCCTAGCCTTGCTCATCATTACTAAAGTCGGTACGATAAAAAACAAAGTCTTGATTATCCATTTCTTTATTTAATCATGAATGAGAGTAAATATCGCAGTCTAGCGATGACATCAAGAGTTGATTATGGTCTAGATAAGTTAATTAATGTCTAATTAATAATTAAGATAACATTTCGGGCCTATTGAAAGACCTGTAATAGGCAGATTTAGCTCTTGCATAATGTATGTTTAATCTAGTTTCACTGAATACCCGAATTTCTAATGAATGTTTAAAGGGATCAGTAGATGTAGTTCCTGAGACAAAAGTATTTTTATACAAATGTACCATACAATTATTATATAATGTTTGGAAGTTTAACACATTTGACCTTGTGGATGAACAATACATGCATGAATTTACATCATAGGCCTTTGAAGTTGATTCCTTCCCTGTATTTAATTTGTTGGAGAAACAAATAATTTTCTTGTTCATTAGGATATCTGGAGTTTTTGTTCACACCAATCAGAGAAAACAGAACACCGATATTGGGTCTTCTTATTGGCAAAAAAGCATAAATAATGATACGCCTACCTGGATGTACAGTTTAAGGCTAGTTGATGAGGTCTACAGGACAGATTGTATCTGTTAACCAGTGATAACATAGGCATGGAATAACGATTCATTGTGCCAGATTCACGGCCCTGTGAAAGCAAAAGCAAAAATACTCAACTTCCTTTGGACAAATTTCTAAAACTAACTTTTTCAGTGTTTGAATATGTATGTTTGTTTTGGCAACATTATATGAAGCACATTTTATAATTTATGGAAGTAAAATATGTGCCATTCGGACCTCCCCTATTTCAAAACCATTTCGATGTTCCTTATTTACTGTTAAATAAAATATCGTTTAAACACAAATAATTATACAAAGGTCACTTAAAATATCTAAAAGGTATATTATTTATCAGTACAAACCTGGTACCACTGGGATAGATTGTACAAATCGTAAATACTTACAACAACAAGCATTTTATCTGAGGCACATATACAACATATAGGATCATCTGATGGCTGAAACGATAAATTAAAATGTCAAAGGTACAGAAAAATCATACATATAAACACTGCTGTATCATTGCTTAAAGATACATTATGTAAGAGCTAAATCTGTCTATTGCAGGTCTTTCTTCTAGCTTCAAATGTGATATAAACTATCATTAAACATTTATTAACATAACAAGCCTATAATCAACTCTCTTGATTAGAATGCTTAGACCATTTAATTATTTAATTTATCAATGGAGAAGTGAGGCTAAGTCTCAAATAACAAATACATTTGTTATGATAAAAAACAATCTTCACTCAGAATAAAGTAATTTAATTGAAATTTTCAATATATTCATTTTGGATTATATATTTTTTAGTGTTGAAACTACTATTCGGATATTCGTTAACGGATACAAAATAAGGGTTATCCGAATCATTTTACTATTCGTTTACTATTCGTTACAATATATTCTGACAATCCGTATGCTCTATATTTAGCCATTTTTACGTCTGATTACTTTGAAATTTTCCCCAATGCAATTGATCATGTACGCAGCTCTGAGCATAAATGTCAACATTATGCGTATTATTTAGTGATAGTAACTAATAAAATGATTAATGCAGTGCAACGAAAACAGTAGTCTAAAAAAAAAAAAATATTCATTCATTCCCTGCGCTACTTTACGGCATACGAGTTTAGACCGTGTTTTGACTTCCCACAATGAAATTTATTCATAACGACCTAGGTCACGTATATTCCCACTCACTGATTGGTTCAATAGTAGTAAATTATCAGAATGGGGCAAACGACCTTGCCGAATAAATGGCACATGGCTTTATTTTACTTTTTTCATTCGTGTTGATTGAGCAAAATGATAAGTGGGAGATTGCGGATAACAGGAGTAGTTATACTATACAAATTCCTTCACCTCATTGATTTTTTGGGATGTCAGACCGATGTCATAGATAGTCTTAATAATTACGGCTAAAGGTAGGCATGTTTTTTTCTTCGCGGCTCAAACAATTTGCAAATCGAAAGTACAATTTCATACTCGTCATACACAGACACTCATAAACATTGAAACAAGTAAGAAATTATGAGTACCGGTATATGAACTTTTGATGTAATTTTTTTCAAGAATTTCACAATCCGAATTATCCGAATAGTATTCGGATAGCCAACAAAAGTATTCGGATCACAAATCTCGATCCAATTTTCAACACTAATATTTTTGAACTACCGGTATTATAGAGAGAACAGCCATCTCTTTATCTAAATCTTACATAATGTATCTTTTAAGTTTTGTATAACTAGTATGTATGTCAATACAATAACTCTTTTAAAATGTCCATGTCAGGCCCTCCGTCCTGCATCACTGACAAGGGGGGGGGGGGCAACCACGCTGGAAAATCCTGATGTACTTTCTCGGGCAATGCAGGGATATTTATATTCGATAATAACCACTAATCCTATATGTTTCAATAGAAAGGAGGTTTATAACATTTATCAAAGAGGATAAACACCATATTGGATGCACTTCAAAAACATATAGGTATATATATTATTTAATCCAGAAGGGAAAAGTTTATTTACTGTTTCTGTCACATGGTTTACAAAATTATTTCCCTAGAATTTTGTAATGCTCAAATTTTGTCAATGAGTGTTTAAGTTCTACAGGTTTTTATACGTCCACATTTTCAAACAAAAGTTAGCTCTTAAGATAATGAAGAGAACACATTGTGTATGTAGTAGTTTCAAATAAAACAGAAAGAATTGTATGTTGTATACCAGGTGACAAGAACATAAGGGGTTGAATGGGGTTATATATATATGGGAAGGATGAAAACATTAAATAAATACAATAAAGCTAAGATCTTTGTTAATGAAATCTGAGTCCATTCACGGGTAAGGCACATAGTCAAATTATCTACCCTTGATACTTGTGCTATTTTTATTGACCAATCATGTGGGTGAAGGGAGGTAACTCGTATTTATTGCAACTAAGATAGCCGAATCGGTGTGGCGAACGTAAACAATGACGCTAAGACTCGTATGTAACCCGTTTTTTAATTGGTTCATAGAATCAACCTACGATCAAGAGCAGATAAATTGAATTCGGGAAAACCTTGTGAATGGACCCAGGGCTTAATGGAGTAGAATGAACGATAGCACTGGGGATACCGACGATGGTAAATAAGGCACCTGCAACATTGTCGGGTACAAATTCAGGCTTTGTCAGGCACATTCCCTCTGGTACATGTGTTCGTCACAAATTTCAAATTGTCAAGTAATTCGGTACAGCCTCAATCTCATTAAAACACAGATCCTATTTTGTTTCGTTTTTTAAAGTTCAAAATATTGTTTTACTTGTTTTTTTACTTCACTAGGATCTGGAAGAGTTGTTATATAACCCGCCTTCTTGTTAATGTGAGAGATTAACCAATGAAATGGTCTGTTGAGACGAGTTCTTTCTGTGCAGTGCACGGAAATGTCAGTATCCCACTAGAAACATCAATGCTGATTGGTTAATCAAATGTCATAGGATCAAAAGCCGTTCATATGACCCCTGACACAACCTTCAACTACAACCGGTCAGATCTTCATGTAGTGGAGACCATCGAAAGTATAAAGAATCGAAACGAAATATAGATCTGTATTTCAATCAGACATTTTGTCCAGAACAACTAAAATCATTATTTTCAAGTCCGTTAATCAAATCGTCCATCTTCACAAACTAACCAATTTATTCTGCTATGTCTAATTTATTAACTAAAAGCAGTAAAATCAAAACCAATTCACTTCAACACAGGAGTTATTCTTCACGCTTTCTTCAAACCTAATACCTGGCTTCGCTTGCAATCTAAATCAGGTCCATGAAAACCTGTCTCAACATCAGAGCTAAGCTTTTTCTTTGACTTTTTCGTTCCAGAAGATGTTTTATCCTTACTGAAAGCCTTCTGCGATGGTTTAACTGGCACATCGACTTTAACTTCAGAAGAAATATCTTTTGATTTTTCACTCTCTAACACAGCCTCTTTTACCATGAGAATTCCATCGTCGTCATAAGTTGGTGCTTCATCTTGAGATTTCTTAGCTACTCCAGGGGATTCCACGATATCAGCTTGTGATTCCATAGTTTCATTTGGTGATTCTTTGATTGTGTCTGGCGCTTCTTTATTTTCACTTGGAGATTTATTTGTTGATTCGTCTGAATCATTTAGTGTTTCCATGACTACAGGTTTTGTTGTTGTACTGGATTCATTGACCACTATCATTTTCTCATCTTTACCTCTGAATGTTCGTGTTCCAGCTATTGTTGAACTTGACTGTATGTATTATTTGTAAATTATAAAAACACTAAGCCTTCTCTATAACGTTGATATATATATATCAACAACTCGCTGATCAAACACTCACATTAAAACAATACCTTTTATTATTCATCTTTACAATGTTAAGGATTTTTGACATCTTTGATATTTTCAATGTATATATCACAATTCAGAGAATTGAAAGTGATTTTTTAGCTTTGCATGTCAAAAATAAGCTGCAGCCAGACTTGTCTTAACATTTTGCCATTGTGAAGATTTAAATTATTATACATAACTCCTCAATGTAAGACTGTAGGAGACATTCTGATGCTTTCCAATGGTATAGACACATGAATTCAAGATATCATTTCATGAAAAACTGAATATAATTTTCATTCTGTACGTTATGAAAAATGACTTACATGTACAGTCAAAGTTTTTTTCAAACTTTCTGTGCGTTATGAAAAATGACTTACATCTACAGTCAAAGTTTTTTTCAAACTTTCTGTGCGTTATGAAAAATGACTTGCATGTACAGTCAAAATTTTGCACAAAAAGCCCTCCTCTCCACCTTCCCTAGATATATTTTTATTTATCTATAAGACTTAAATCTGTGTGATAAATATACAATACCTGAAAAGCTTTTTGGAAATCAATCTCATCTTGAGCAGAGGCACCTGATGGTGTTTCATCAATATGATGAAGTCTGAAATATTAATTTAGTAAATCATTTTATTGGAAAGAAATACATAACTTTGAAACTTACATACACATACATCAGAGAATGGCAGAAAAGCTGTTGTCACGGGATTCTTTTATTAGGTCTACATTATCATTTGGGGGATTTTGACTCCATTGCAAATTACCAGAAATTTAAAAGTTGAATCTCTAAAAATGGTTGAATTCTGTCAGTATTTCATGATTTCAAAATGTTGTAACATTCAGCTTCCTCTGAAGTGGCAGCTTGACAAATATAAATTCTTTCCATGGGCTTCTTTTTAATAAAATTGAATACAAGCGGTGATATTATTTACCAATGATATTTTGGTTTTGTTCTCTTAATTAAAGATTAATTAATTAATTATGGGAGATTAGATAAAGAGCTGACAGTTTTCGCTATAATAGTTAAAAACTAGATAATGTAAAGGTAATTTGTTGAAAATTTCAGTCAAATTGGTGCACTATGAACCAAGATATCAGCTTTGTAAATTTCCGCCTAGCCTCGTTCATCATTACTAAAGTTAGTACGTTAAAAAGCATAGTCTCGATTATCCATTGTTTTGATTTAATTATCAATGAGCGTTTGCAGCATATAGGATTCTAATCCAGTCGATATCGAAGGCTAGCCTTGACATCGAGAGTTGATTATGGTCTGGATAAGTTAATTAATGTCTAATTAATAATTTAGAAAACATTTCAGGCCTAAAGAAAGACCTGCGATAGGCAGATTTAGCTCTTCCATAATGCATGTTTAAATGTTAAATAATGTTAAGTAAATTTTAGCATGTATTAAACCATAAAATTTTTAGATATTACCCGAAATTTAAAATGGCAGCTTTAGTTATAATGAACCACACAAAAATACACATTCTATATTCACTTTTATTCAAATTATTTTGAACAAGTTAAGATATTACATACCTTTCAGCTCCAGCTTTTCTTTTAGTAGTCATCTCCAGAGTTGCTAGTTTCTTGGGATTTTTAAATTGCCATGTATAGAAAGCTTCTCTAGAGGCTGTTATAACATGATTTTTAGTCATGGTTATATAAACCGGTTCTAATTCTATATATTTAGAATCTAGAGGTGTTCCAATAGAATTACACAATGATAATACATACTGAAATAAAAATGCCGACATTTTTAATTAATACATACGTGATAGATGACCCAACAGAATTGGAAGCGTATTAGCTTGTCGGTTTTATGATCGTTCAATTTCAGAAGGTCTTCTATGTCTTTATTTCAAAAGATCTTATGTGCCTTTATTTCAGACGATTGCCTGTGTCTTTATTTTAGAAGATCTTTAGTGCCTTTATTTCAGATCTTTAGTGCCTTTATTTCAGATGATCTCCTGTGTCTTTTTTTCAGAAAATCTTCAGGGTGTTTCAATTTTGAAAGATCTTCTGTGTCTTACAATATCAGAAGATCTTCAATGTCTTCCAATATCAAAAGATCTTCTGTATGTTACAATTTCAAAAGATCATAATGTTCCTTTATTTCAGAAGATTTTCTGTGCCCTTCACTCGAAGAGCAGAACATGCAGAAATGAAAATGTAACTGTTGATTTCTAGAAGCTTCCAGATAAAAAGGGTTCGAATTAGCAGTTTATGTTTATAATATATCAATTATTACATACCTGACCATTCACTTCCTCTGCTTTAGTTGCTAGGCAACAGTAATCTCCACATGCTGTGATGCCTATTAATCCTTTTACATGTTTCACATATTTCTGAAATAAAAATTTTGTTTTTATGATTTAAATAATGATTAAGAGTAAAACATAATCAATCTATAGAAATATTGTTTACGGACAACATATTCTCAGAAATTTGCCTACATTTATGTATGTTGATATAACTACATTATTTGGCAATAAAATCTGTTTTGTTGACATATATTAAACATACATTATGCAAGAGCTAAATCTGCCTATTGCAGGTCTTTCTTTAAGCCTGAAATGTCATCACTAGCCTGCGATATTTACTGGATTAGGATCCAATCTGCTGCTCAACGCTCATTCATGATTAAATCAAGAAATGGATAATCAAGACTATGGTTTTTATCGTACCAACTTTAGTAATGACGATCAAGGCTAGGCCCAAAATTCAATCGCTGAAATTTTCATCAAATTTCCTTTACATTATCTAGTTTTTAACTATTATAGTGAGAGCTGCCAACTTGTTATCTAATCTCCAATAATGTATTTTTAAAATAGTATGTTGATTTCTTTATAATTTTTGTCACTTTTTCTGAATTTGTTTAAATTTTTGTATTTATAAGATTAGGAAGGTTTGTACGGTATTCACTTGTAATAATAATAATAATAATAATGTACATTTGTAATTGCACTCACTCCATCCATATTGCATGCTCTAAGTGCATGGAAGATAATAGTAAATCCTGATAATATGTAACAAACAAATGAGTTTTGAGTTCGGATTTAAACACAGCTAATGTTTGAGAACTCTGTATCCCCAATGGTAAGTTATTCCACAAACACGGTCCACAGACACTGAAGGCTTTATCCCCGTATGATTTCAGTTTGTATCCTCATTGTACACCATTTATATAAACACACTTGCCTTTAAAATTCCTTACCTGGGCTTAATTTGATATCAACGACATTATTTGTGAAACCACAATGAAATTTGCTGTAGCGCAATTCAAGCCCTGTATTTACCAGTTGACCAGAATGAACTGCAGTTAAACATACCTCATTATTTTTGGTATCCCAGAAGATGACACAGTGTTCTGGTCTATCAGGTTTGGTAAAAGAATACACAACTGTATTAGAACAATATCCCCACTGGAAAAACAAGACGAATACTATATAACCACTGACAAATCACTCCAACTGTATCATTTTGAAGCTATATGGCAAATCTCTATTTCTATCTTACAGATGAATTGTAGGTCCATGACATGCAGCCAAGTTTGTCACATTAACAGGTGATTTTACCATATAAAAATTTAATGTTGGTATCTAAATATTATTCAATTCATTTAAACTGGTGGGCCGCGGTGGCTCAGTGAGTAAGACATTGGCTCACTAAAATTGAGGTCCTATGTTCGATTCCGGTGTCGGCTGATAAAGTTCAGCGGAATTCAAAACAAGAGTAGGACGCAGCGCCGCTGTTCGGGAAAAATTTTCTCACAGCACACTATATGGCGTATGACCATTTTCATTAGCCCAGTAGGAGCAGAACAGTAGGACATTAAACTCCATGTCATTTCAACTTTGGATTGTTTTGGTGTCAATTTCAGATTTGTAGAAATTGTGAATATTTCAAACTCACATAGTTTCCTTTCTATAATTTATGATATGAATATTAGTTGATTTCATTAAATAAATATAGTATTTTCTTTCAGCAGCAATTAGCAATTGACACACGTACTAAACACAAAAACATAATTTGAAACACAATTACTATCTTAAAGATACATTCCCGCGTACAAACTGGGTGATTTAATGGTATATATGGACTAAAAACATATCCAAACTAATTAATTTGTCATAATTTTGCTTCAAATCCTTCTCAAACATTGTAATTGCGAAGGAATGCCCTACTATAAAATGTTTATGTCACATGACTTACCTCTCTTGGAAGTCAGAGGAGAATTCATTGCATACATAAGACGATGTTGTCTTTAATCGCTTACTATTTATTACAAATATCGAATCCTAATTAAATTCTCGGATTATCCACTACCCGCGTCTTTTTCCGTCATTTTTATCTCAGAAAGTGTTGTACGTCTAACTCTTCATAAAGTTTATCAACTTGTACATCAAGCACTCAATCTTCGTGTGTGACCTTTGACATCACGCATGCAGAAATTCCTAATCGTCGGGCTGTCGATTAGGGGTACCCTTACATTTTGTCCTGTATACGCTCCATGAGTGTTTTTTGGGTAATCCAGTATTTTTCTAGGAAGATTGGATATCTCTACTTTCCATATATACCAAAATTGCCATAATTTTATTGGAAATAACCACCTGATAAATACTTTTCTGGGAACCCATCTTTAATTAAAGCGATGTTCACTCAATCTTATCAACTAAATTGTGTTCCATTTTATGTTTTTGTGTTTATTATAGTATTATTTATGAATATTAGTCAATTTCATTAAATTACTATTATTATTCTTCTACTTACCTTATAATCTGGTCTAATGTTAGCGAAGTAGACAAATGAATCAACAGCTAGAGCTATACGTAAACTACCACCTTCCCAGGAACAAGCTGTCATATGTTTACCTGGTACTTTCAATGTTCGTAGATGCTGAAAAATAATATCTTTTAATGTAACAGACAGCAGAAAAAGACATGGGGGATACTCAAATGTAATTAAATTTTCGGGCCAATCACCATACTGCTCACACCACCACTGTTTTAGGGACTAGAAGAACTGTGATATATCCCAATTCCCTTTTACTCGACTGTATTTACATCAATTCGGAGCTACACGTTTACTAAAAGTGGGGTTTGGGATAGAAACACAAGACTGGATAATTCACATTTTTTTAAAAAAAAGCCTTAAGACTAGTCAAAATATGGGATTGTTTTAGATCTTTGAAACTTGGCAGTTGTTTCGAATGTTTAATGTATTTAACTCCAATGGTTCACTGGGATTGGTCCTCGATAGAAACCTTTTACAACTGGACAATCTGGTCTATTTTCTAATTTTGTGAATTCTTAGTGAAACCATATCAATTGATTTAATCGCAAAAGTAAACAAACATAATTATGTTTATTCTAGAATTTGGGCAACTGTTTACAGAATCAATCTAGAATAATTCCTGAAATTATAAAATCTTGACATACCTCTCCAAATGGTGTATAAAACTGTACAACATTAACCTCTTTATCTTGTCCTACAGCACCTTGTGAACCTGCTATAGCTAATACTGATCCTGTATGATTCCATTGTATCTGTGCTACATGCATACCAGTATCCAATAATATAGAATCTGAAATATATGTTTTATTGCATTTCAATTATAATATTTACAATCTAATCAACATCTGTTCCGTCTGGTTCTAGCCAATCTTGGTGTACTAATAATCTACGAGAGAGAGAGAAATGGGGTTTAACGTCCACTCGACACAAACTAGGTCATTTCGGGACTAACATATGGTTTAATTTTATTTCAATAATTCGCATGTGCGTAGGGGTCTTTAGCAGTGGGAGGAAACCGGAGGACCCAGAGAAAAACCACGAGGTTGGACAGGCGACCCTACTCCTTGTCACGTACAACCGGGGATTCGAAACCATGCCAGTTGACTCAATGACAGGCTTTACGATACAGCGCGCACATGCTAACCATTCGGCCATCCAACCCCCCTAATAATCTTAAAGGGGCATTATAGGTAAGATTAGATAAAGCGCTGACAGTTCTCACTATAATAGTTAAAAAATATATAATGAAAACAGAATATACTCAAAATTTCGGTCAAATTGATTCACTATGAACTGAGATATTAGCGATTGAATTTTAGGCTAGCCTTGATCATTATTACTACCGTTGGGATGATAATAAACCATGTTTACGTTAAATCATCCATCACAAAACTTATTCAAATCGACTAAATATAAAGGCCTAACAATGGCATTGGGAGTTAATTATGGTCTTGATAAGTTAATTAATGTCTAATTAATAATTTAGATAACATTTCAAGCCTAAAGAAAGACCTGCAACAGGCAGATTTAGCTCTTGCATAATGCATGTTTAATAGAGGCTAAAATGTATTCTAATTGATTATTTAAAATTTAATTAAGAAATCAAATCCATGATATATTATGATCTCCAGTCCCTCTTCTCGATAGCTTTTATTTCAAATTTTAAGTTTTGAAAATTTAAACAAAACACATGACTCCAGTAGTTATTTGTTTATCAATATCATTAAGAACTAAAAATTAAAATGCTTTGGGCGTATTCTGTTTTGACAGATGCAATGCATAGTAGAAATGACTGATATGCCAAATCATGTGCATTGTTCGTAGAGCCAAAGTCTGGTCATAACACAGGGGATGTTCGATTGTCAGTCTGGAGCGTCCTGAATTGACAGAATTGCAATCGAGTGGAATTCAGTCCCGTCACAGTTCTGTCAGTCCCCACAATGGAGGTGGTGTGAGTAGAATCGTGACATAATTAAACACAATAACTATGGTTGATTTTGATATTTTCTTATACAGTCGGTGCATGCGTTGTAGAAATCCCCCATTTCACTCGATTGTTACTATCTTTAGGATTGAGAAAATTCAATTCCGGAATGTTCAATCGAATCCCCATTGAAATGGCTTACTTTCATCATTCTCGGATCTCATTATCTGACATCTTCCATTATCAAAACATATAGCTAGACAGGGACAGTTCTGTTCTATATAACCATGTACTCCATTATACCAGTCTATACCAGATATATGTATAGCACCAGTTACATTACTTAAACAATAAATCTGTAGTTTGGTCTGAAATTAAATAAAAGGGAGGTAACCCATACTGTATTTGGTCAACACTGCTGTATCAAAATCTATCTGATTAAAATACAGAACTATATTTTGTTTGTTTTTTTAGACTTTCTATGGCCTACACTACATGAAGACCTGACCGGTTCTACTGGAAGGTTGCGTCAGGGGTTGTACAAACAGCTTTTGACCCTATGATGTCAGAAATTGATTAATCAATAAGCATTGACGTTTCTAGTGGATTACCCACAGTTCAGTGCATCACACTGCAAGAACTCGCTGTAACAGACCATTTCATTGGCTAATCCCTCACTTCAAACAGAACTCTGGTAATATAACAACTCTTCCAGATCCTAGTGTAGTAAAGACAACAGAGGTTTTGTGGAGTATTTCATTGAAGTGAAGAAGTGAAAACAAAATTTTGAACTATAAAAAAACGAAATGAATTAGGATCTGTGTTTTAATCAGATTGTATCAAAACGTATACAAAAGAAAATGAGCTTTTAAACATCTTGTCAACACAATACTTCCTTCATTTTGAGACTTATGTATGCTTAGCTTTGGTTTCTATGGTCACCATTTTAACTTAGGCAGGAGCATTTTGACTACTCTTCATCCAGTTCCAACTGTCAAGGGTTCTTTAAGTGCAGACAAATATGGGTGGACTTTTTCATCCCATTCTAACAGCTAGGCAACAATTTACCTGTTAACACTGCAGGAGCTACCCCCTGGCATGCACCCGGGATATTCCAATCCAAATTTGAACCTGGGACATTCCAATCCAAATCTGAACCTGAGACACACAAAAAACCTGAATTTGAACCCAGAACATTCAAAGCTTTGACGTCGAACCTGGAACATTCTGGTTGAAAGTCCCCATTTACAAACTAAACATATATTTCATACATTTCTACAAAGCTCTGAAATTTACTTACAATAAAATTTCCCATATTATCAAAGATATGAACTTCACCATTGACCATTCCAAACATAATCATTTTACCATCCGGTGACCACTGAAAATATAATTCATTTCTATAAAACATACATCAGGAGCAGGCCAAATACCATCTGTGATTACACCAGGAACAGGACAATTATCATCTGGATTACATTAGGAACAGACCAACTACCATCTGTGATTACATCAGGAGCAGGATAAATACCATCTGGATTACTCTCCCTTGAGCATAATCAGGTCAACTTATTTTTAATTAATAGTTGGATATTTATATTGACCAGTAAAAATAAAATTAGACACAATTGCATACATAATAAGTCAACAGCAAATTTTTAAAATATCACATAATGTCAACCACGTATTCTGCCACTGATATCTTATAGTGCAGCTTGCTAACCCTTTGATAGAACAATTGGGAAAAAAGTAGGCAAAATAAAGAAGTTAAAATATATCAAAAGAAAAAAGGATTGATTGAATCAAAAATTACCTCTACATGTGCTAGTTGGAGACCTTTTAATTCTTTTCCCCAAATTCTATTACCATCTACAGATCCGACTATTACAGCTCCTGTTGTAAAAGATAAAGATAAACTAAAGAAATATATTAGAAAATAATAGATCTGATAAGTTGTAGTCAAAGGTCAGGGGGTCGTACGAGCGGCTTTTGACCCTATGACGTCAGACATTGATTAATCAATCAGCGTTGACGTTTCTAGTGGTTTACGCACAGTTCCGTGCATGGCATGCCAAGAACTCGCCGTAACAGACCATTTCATTGGCTTATCCCTCACTTTAACCAAAACGCTGGTAATATAACAACTCTTCCAGATCCTAGTGTAGTAAAGACAAGTAAAACGAAAATATGAACAATAAAAAACGAGAGAGAGAGAGAGAGAGAGAGAGAGGTCCACTCGACACTAACTAGGTAATTTCGGGACTAACATATGGTTTAATTTTATTACAATAATTCGCTTATGCGTAGGGGTTTAGCAGTGGGAGGAAACCGGAGGACTCGGAGAAAACCCACGAGGTTGGACAGGCCACCCTACTCCTTGTCACGTACAACTGGGGATTCGAAACCATGCCAGTTGACTTAATGACAGACCCTATGGTACAGCGCACACATGTTAACCATTCCGCCATCCAACCCCCCTATAAAAACCAAAAAAAGAAATAGGATCTGTGTTTTAATCAGATTGAAAATAATATAGTCTTAAGCTGCATGGGATGATGATTATATCAGTAAGAAGGTAGTCTGAAATATCTTACCATCCTCATAGACAATACAAATCTTTTGACCATCAGCATTCCATTTCATACCTCGTACAACCGATTTATTACGATTATTAATCATCTCCTCATACCATGAACCTGTAGAAAAAACAAAGACAAGGCTATTTATACTGAATGCCAGGTATCATCTAATCTTGCGTGTTTAGCCCAAATTTCTTTCACATTCATTCAATATCAAATCTTTGAAAAATGTTTATAATGAGTGTCCAAAAAGCATTTAATTTCCAGACCACTGTTCAAAAATCATCATACATTAATAATCAATTGGGTTGTTTATTTATCTTTCAACAGTGATCAAACCATCGCACACCAAGACACTTTTCTCTTGTCAGTTTCATTTTGAGGCTAACATACAATATTTAAGAATTTTTTTTAGGACAGCAACATTACCCTGTGAAGTATAAATATGTTTTTAATATCTCAAAGACTTTGAACCAAAGACATTCAGTTATGAGTTATTTTGAGTTTATTTCCATTTCTATTTCATCCAAGTTCAACTGTCTAGGTTTCTTTTATGTGCACGACAATGTGTATGTGAGTTATGTGCCCTTGCCACTTGACTATCAAAAGATTACCTTTGTATAACATCCAGACTATAATAAGACCATATTGATCACTGGTTGTTAATTTATGATATAATTCATTCCATGTAACACACTGGACAGCTCCTGTTAAATATATAATATAATGTTAAATATATAATACACATGTAACACACTGGACAGCTAATGTTAAATATACAATACACATGTAATACACTGGACGGTTCCTGTTAAATATACAATACACATGTAACATACTGGACGGCTCCTGTTAAATATACATGTATAATACACATGTAATACACTGGACAGCTCCTGTTAAATATACAATATGTAACACACTGGACGGTTCCTGTTAAATAGATAATACAAATTAAAAACAGAAACTATGTCACTTCATGACATGTTGGTAGGCATATTTGCATATTTAATAGAAATTAAATGTTCATTGAAATGGATAAATATTTCAAGTAAATATAAAAATTAGTGCTTTACATTTCCTGGTATACTGAGTCATATACCTTGTATCATACATGTACCTTGTATAATGTGCATGTCAATGTGCATTTGTTGTCCTATCCAAACAACTGGTCACAGTACCCCTTAGAAGAAGGAAACTGTTGAATGATAGCAATAGTTCCTCCTTGAAGCCAAGTCAGCATGTAAACTGTAAACTTTTGAGACATTCTAGTCAAGGGTTGGGTTCGCTAACTTCTTAACTACCATAACTCTCAAACATGGAATATGAATAAAGATATTTACCAGCATGACCCTCTAATGATTGGTTCATTGATAAATTACTAGGAGCAGCCAATCCTTTCACCTTTACATCTTTTCCTGAAATATAAAATTACAAAATTTTACACTCCCCTTAAAAACAGCTAATTTTGGAACATGTATTTTTCCGACTGTCATTTAAAATATAATAATAATAATAATAATAATATATATTGTTTATAGACCGTTACACACAAATTGTCTCAACCGTCTTTACATGGGCGTACTACACATAGTATATACATAATAATAAATGAATAAACACTATCAATAACTCATAAAAAATCTCAATTCAAGATATACAAATGTATGCCTATAAAAACATTAGATTGACTAGTAGTTATTGCCTAATTGAATAAATATGTTTTGAGGTTGGATTTAAACAAGCTGAATTTGGTGAGTGATCTAAGTCTTAATGGCAGCTCATTCCAGAGAGTAGGCGCGGCACGACTGAAGGCGCGATCGCCATACAACTCACTGGTTTGTTTTCCATGTGTTTTGTGGGAAAAGCGTCGCAACTTCACCCCATCACTGCTTCTAGTCCGATAGGATGGAACTTGAATACTAATGATATTAGTGAGGTAGCAAGGCTCTGACTCACTATGGCGTATTAACTTGAAAATTATACATGACAGTTTGAAATGAATCCGCTTCTCAACTGAGAGCCAGTGTAGTTCCCGAAGAATGGGCGTCATCTCTGCGTGACGCTCCAGCTTCCTTCGGATCACCAGTCGAGCAGCGGAATTCTGAACATGTTGTAATATCAAGCTGTGATATCTATTTTTCTGCAAGGCAAAATTTTAAAGTACAGTCACAGGGTGGATAAAAAAAAAGGAGAGGAGGGGTGGTTGGGGGTATGGGGATGGGTGAGGAAAGGCACATAATAAACAAATAGTGTATACATAGGCGTTAATGTAACACTTGTGAAAGGATTATAAGACTATAAAGTAAATCCAAAGTTGCAACTCCCAGAGCAAGGGGGCTCTAGAACAAAGTAAAATAATGTTGGGGTGCCCAAGTTTAGATTTTGTCAATGATTCCATGATGTGGTAAGGTCCAAGGTGTTTAATTCATTCCGGTGGGAGGTGACTGATATGTGTCTCTCTTTTTAATGGACAGAGGTAGGATTGTAATTTCTAATCTGTTAAAGAAACTGGATGAGTAGGCCTTTCATTTTTCGGTGGTGTGTTTTGTTCTGTAACGTTGGTACAGTCTATAGCTGGGGAGCACAAATTGTTGTTAATTTCAGAACTGAAGATTTCGTTAAGGAATTTGAAACAAGCATATTTGATGCCAAGTTGACAAGTGTATATAGAGTCTTAATCTTATCTTATCAAATAAACTATTTCTATTTGCCATACAAACCTATCTGTGTTTCCAGACGGAGCACTTTCAACAAACCATCTTCTCCACCACATGCTATGTAGCCTTGTTCTTTGTTCCATGATACACTTCGTAACTTAGTGTTGTTAGGTATAGCAATCTATTCAAAATAACAAATTAAACAATTGAGAAAAGCTGAATTTGTACCTAATAACGATACATTGTCATTTGTCAGTGATGGAGAGTTTTATATTTGGGAGATTTTAAAATGTAATATCTCTTATTAGTGGCGTGTAGTATATACATTGTATCATGTGGATTTATATCTAAAGGTTTGGTTAATTAGATAATTACTACATTATGTATTTGGCTCATTACAAGGCATCTTAAAGGAGCTAAATCGCTAATATTTGGGACCTAACAATTGACACAAATGGGTTGCAAAGCATATATTCATTTATGTAATGTGAAAGTATTAAACTGATTTACATTCAATCATTTCTGTTTTTACTGTAATTTATTATCAGTTAGGTTGGGCAAAATAGCTCAGAAGTCTAAATTGAATGGCAATCTCCAGAGTCTGCTTATTCCAGTCTACATCGAGAGTATATTGCACATGCTCTCCAGATAAGAATATAGCGTCACCTGTTGACGTGACTTGTGGTATATGTCTAGCCTCGTACTTAGAGTCCCTTGTTACAAATGGTGCTGAAACAGCTTATGGTACACAAAACACCACTCGATATTAATTTATCCAATATTTGCATTTATGAAAAACTTGCATTACTACATTTGGCTGGGTATTTTTAATTAATCATAGGGCTCAATCTGTAGCTAAAAAAAAAGTAAAAACATCAGGCACTTAGACCCATGCCTACACATCTGAAAACGAAACCATATCGAAATTCGAAATAAAAGTAGCGTGATCGTATCCAGTTCTAACTTCTAAAACACCTGCTGGCTGTCATCGGCGTCGATAGCAACCTGTAAATTCTAGAATCAAAACATAATTTATCACTTATATCGTCATTAATCTGGCTTAGTTTAGTATAGTACGTTATAAAATACCTTCTTGCTCAAGTAGACAAACATATTGATATAATCAGGAAGGCAAAAACGCTAAAAATTCAACTATTCTGAAGTTATTGACTTTCCCTGTTCATGCAGGCGGCCATTGCTTAGGAATTTCTCGCAATACACGGGAATACACGAGATTATTCGTTGAAACAGGCTGGGAATTGTGGGTAATCAGTCTTTTCCATCTTGCTTTTAGCGTGTGAGGTTGGTGTCTGTGGTTTCTGCAAAATTGAATAATAAAAATAATCTTTGAAAGTATTTCTGCATTAAAATAAAATCGTATAATCTGATTGAGATTCATGTTGTATATTTTCCAGGTCCCCACAAGCCACTAAGAAATCAAAATGGTCTCCACAAAGAAAGCGGTGAGTAGACTTGAGCTACGACCACGTGTTTACGGCAGTCCCATTACATGGCAATGTGCACTGGGCGGCAAGTGTGTTTTCGATCATCATGTCGATGAACTTAATCTGGATAGACCCTCTTTGCCAACTAGCTTATAAAGAAGAATAATATTGGGCTTGTGTTATAAATGAAGTTAATATTTCTATTTTAATTTGAGGCATACACATACTATACTGATTTTCGTTGGAGTTATAAAATATAATACTAATAATAGCCTAGACTAGTTTGGATTTCAGGTCAAAGTTTTAAATGACAGAAAAATATTTTTAAGAAACATTTTGTGAAAATATACATAAAATGCTACCCAACACATTCTCATTATGCTAGATCCAAAGTTATGGAATTCTAAAATCAGATGACGTCAATAATGTAATCAAAATGCTCTAGTCAATGCATGCCATGACACAAAAATAAGTGCTTTTCAGCGGAGTGTCGTCATGCTGAAGAATAAAAAAAAACATACAGATAATGCCAACATAATCATTTAAACTATTACCATAATTTTTCCTATTTATTATTGCTGAATAAAGGAACTGTAAATTCACTATGATGATCAACCCAGCTCTCCGAAACTTGAAATGAGGCACAACTAGTTTGTTGGTTCTGAGTGAATTTACACCCAATAAATAGGGGGAAAGTTTCAAATGACAAAAAAATTTTTTAAAAATATTTTGTGAAAATGTACATAAAATGCTACCCAATTTTTTTATTTCATGAAAATATTCTAATTAGATCCAAAGTTATGGAATTTTAAAATCAGAGATCGACGTCAATAATGTAATCAAAATGCTCTATACCAGTCAACGCGTGGCTTGGCACCAAAATAAGTGCTTTTCAGTCATATTTGAGTGATGTCATAAGCGGTATTTTCCCTTCAGAATCGCTAGTACCAATTTTAAAACTGAAATCCGCATGTTATTGTCAGCTAAAATTTATTAAAATCGTAATAATTTGAATGATATTTATATTTAGTCGAAATTTGACAATTTTCAGTCATCAAAACAGATTAATCCCATTTTCTACGGGTCTACTTGTCCGATCACGTGGTATCAACAACCATAATAACCACAAAAATGTTATCTATCGTTTGATTGGTTCTATATCAAAATCCCCCGGTAACTAAGCTGCGGATTCACCAATGAAGTGAGTAGTAGCAATGGAAAATCTCAGGCCGCGTGACGTCAGAGCGGTATTTTCCCGCGAGCGTCTCATGTAAACAAACGGTAATTTCGCTTACATTTCGATAATTTTTTAGCCTGAATTTTTGCAGATATTGAGATTGATATTAAACTATTGCAATACAATTGCTAGTAATGCATTTACATAAAATAGTAATTCAGAATCGTAGATTGAAGTGGGCTATATTTCAGCCGCTGGCTGTCCGATTTCACGCTAAAGTCACGTGACCTGAAACCCCTATAATAAAGCACTCTTGTCAATGGGGTGCCTGCTAGTCCAAACCACTGGATGACCGAATGGTTGGCGTGTGCATGTTGTAGGCCTATAAAAAGATCTGTCATGAAACTGGTGTTACCATTGATTTCTACATAATGTTTTAATTTCTTTATTATTATTCATAATCTGTCTTCGCCATCATCTAAAACGAAAAAAGATAAATTCTTAAGAGTCACAAATGTCGTTTATATCGAGTCCCAAATGTCGTTTGTGTTAGTCACAAATGACGCCAATCAAGTCCCAAACGTCGTCAACTGAGTCCCAAATGTCGTTTATGTTGAGTCTTAAATGATGTGAGTCCCAAATGACGTGATACCCCTTACCATTCCCCGGTTGTACCTGACAAGGAGTAGGGATGCCTGTCCAACATCATGGGTATTCTCTGGGTCGTCAGGTTTCCTCCCACTGCTACACGCTAGCAAATTATTGACATAATGTTGAACCATTGTTAGTCCTGTAATGACCGAGTTTGTGTCTAGTGGACGTTGAACTCTCTCCTCTCCATCTCGCAAACCGCCAGAGTTAAGTGAATATCCATTTGTATTGTTTTAGGAGGGAGTCGGCGCAGCTATCCACATTATACCTGTAGATAACTATAATGTCTAAGTCGGCCTACTAAAGGTTAAAACTAGGAAATGACCATTTTTCTCCGCTATGCATTATATTCACAATGATGATCAACCCAGCTCTCCGAAACACAAATCTGAGGTACAACTAGTTTGTTGGTTCTGAGTGAAATCAAAAGCACAAATTCTGTCCTGGTTAAATTCTGTCTCCTCTTGCATTTTACGTAAGCTGAAACACAAAAAGATCAACCTGATGTTTCAAACTAATTTTAAAAGTTGACACTATAACACAACATTTTCAATTATCTATCAAGATAAACAAAACTGATAAGTTGTCCATATTTTGGGTGTATTTAAAAATGTATGAGGCTTTGGAGGAAATAATGTTTTATTTTGAAAATCTAATTTAAGAGATAACTAATAACCACTTAAACATCTTTTAAAATGGGTCACAAGACATTTTTAATTAACAGAGCTAAATATTGTGCATGATTAAGTAATTGTAAAAAAGTTTTAGAATTAGATGGGAATAGAACAGAAATCTTTATATATATATATATATATATATATATATATATTCATGTGACAATCGACAATAAAATGTAGCAAGATATTTGTACAAATATGATCTTGAATAAAATGTATAGTTAATTCCTACTCCTATCTTTCCTGTTGTAAAAAGATAAAAATATTACTATGATGATTATCCTTACCTATTCTGATTGCCATGAAGAAGGATTTATCTGAGTGATGATAAATTCTAATTTAACTTTTCACATCTTTTTTTATTAGAGGCATATAATTTTATTTATTTTCTATTGCAGAAAAAGTCGTCCGAAAACATCAATGCCCGTTTGGCTTTGGTAATGAAGAGTGGTAAATACTGTCTTGGACATCGTCAAACTTTGAAAACCTTACGTCAGGGTAAAGCAAAGCTTGTAATCATTGCCAACAACACACCTCCATTAGTGTAAGTATTAAAACGCTGGAAATACGGATATTTAATTTCTTGCTCTGTAATTCTTCTAATCATTTCAGTATTTAATGACTTCGGAGCCTTTAGCAAAGATGAAGTCACATAAAATGAAATAAATTTAAAATATTTTTTTTTGTGACCGATTGCTATTGATTGCCGACTTCGGAGTCTAGATTAGACAAAGATGAAGTCTTGATATTGATATAAATCTGTTTTCTTTTGTCAAGATGAAGTTGATTACGATTGGTGTAAGTAAATGAAATAAATCACTTAATTGGTGATCATGTGACAAGAGATTATAACACATACATCTCTACTTTTCAATGGTTAGTTATCAAATTAATAACATTTGATTGGAGCTAAAAAGTACCTGAACCTGTAATTTTTCTGACGGCTTAAAGCTAATTGAAGATGTGTACTGCAGAATAAAAACTTAGTGATTTGGTGAAAATTCTTTTGTCTCTAAAAGTAGTTGCCAAAGAAAATAATTTTTCTTGACTGCAATTATAGCTTTGTCCAATCAGGCTTTAAAGCTGCAGATTGTCATTGGCATTTTGTTTACATCGAATCTTTCAGGACCGCTTGATCAGTGTTGAAATGTACTTAAATTGATTATTTAGCATTTAATTAAGGCATTAAAACAAAAACATCAATGGTAGATAATCTTGGATTAAAAATGTGGCCCATCAAAAGATTTTAACCAACATATGGGTCTACTGGCTAAACTGGCTTGTTTAAATTATCAACAGAGGATAATGCTGCACCAGTTAAAATCGTCAATACTGAGCATAATTAAGGTCTTTTGGACAGAGAGATGCAAAGTTTCCCAATGTTTCAGTTCAAAAGGGATTCTAAATCCCTTAAATTGCGCTCAACAATGATTGATCGTGGGATATATTAAAAGGCTATTAATATGAAAGTAAAGTTCCCTTGTCAGTGGTTGAGGACGTAGGGCCTGACAAGGACAGCTGTCTAGTAGGTCGGATGGATTGAAAACCCAATGTCCCATGTACACAGTGGCGTGCACATAAAAGATCTCCTGGCAGTTGGAATTGGATATAAGAGTATGGCTTGTCACCACTGTCTGGGCAAAATTTCCCTCATAGCACACTGTATGGCATATACCTGCTATTCATTAGGCCAGTAGGAGCAGAACAGTAAGACATTAAACCCCATTTCATTAAAGTAATATTATTGTAAAAACCACTGACTGGTCATACGTAACTTGCAACAAGCATTCCCACAAAATAGTTTATTTATTCTGTAAAATTAAAACGTTAACTTTGTATTAACAGGAAGAGTGAGATCGAGTATTATGCTATGTTAGCTAAAACTGGTGTACATCATTATGCTGGTAATAATATTGAACTAGGGACAGCTTGTGGTAAATATTTCCGTGTTGGAGCTCTCAGTATCACAGATCCAGGTATGATGTCATTATTATTCCTCCCACCCCCTTCCATTTTCTTTTTACACAAACGGCCACGGTGTCTCAGTAACTCGCTGACTGCCTAACCAAGAGGTCTCGAGTTCACTCCCAGTGTTGACTCTGAAAGCTACTCAGAATTTTATGGTGAAAGCTACTCAGAATTTTATGGTGTTCCCCTTGTCAGTATTGCAGGATTGAGAGCCCGACAAGGAACGGTGTCTTCATTTAGATAGGACAAGAAACAGCCAACGGGTCCCATGCATACTTTGGTGTGC